CATACCGCTCGCTCTATGAGTGAGCCATGTGCTGCGGGCGCTTGCGCTCATGGGGCTGGAGCCCAGCGACAGTGCCGCCACCTGGTAAGTACCGCGCGCTCTGTGAATGAACCGTGTGCTGCGGGAGCTCGCGTTCATGGGGCTGGAGCCCAGCGACAGTGCCACTCCCGGGTATGTACTGCTCGCTCTATGAGTGAGCCATGTGCTGCAGGCGCTCGCGCTCATGGGGCTGGAGCCCAGTGACAGTGCCGCCCCCGGGTACGTACTACGCGCTCTGTGAGTGAGCTGTGTGCTGCAGGCGCTCGCGCTCATGGGGCTGGAACCCAGCGACAGTGCCGCCCCTGGTACGTACCGCTCGCTCTGTGAGTGAGCCGTGTGCTGCGGGTGCTCGCGCTTATAGGGCTGGAGCCCAGCGACAGTGCCGCCGACAGTGTTTCAAATGGAAAGTGGAATAACATTTGTGGAAAGTAAGTGAATTCAATAAAATTCAATAGGGTTGTCGAGTTCGTTGTCTATAATACTTATCGATGTTCTTTTCTACCCATATCTGTTAACAACCAAAGTCGCCGACAAGAGATAAATATCAAATTTATTAATTAACAGGTTTCCAATTGAACCTAGACTAAAATTATGGCTAAAAAGCATAAAAGTTGTGTATTGGCGTCCGAAACAAAATTATTAACTTTGTTCTAAACACTTCACAGACGACTATTTTATTAGACGTGAGAAACGCACCAATTTGAAAAAGTGAAGTATACCCACAATATTTAATGGTAGTACCAGTACCAGTCAGTATGAAAGTATTAGATTATTATTTGGAATGTTTTTTTTTATTTCTTCTCCCCTTATTTTCCCCCAAACTCTAGGGCCATAGCCAAGTTTAGAAAAGTCGCCTGATGATGACTTTGTGTTTACAGGGAGTTTTGTTAAATCTGTTTAAATATGACCAATTTATAATGGGACTGCAAAATTATTAAGGTTCTTAGTGAGTTTAGGTGAGAAATAGCTCCTCCCTGAACTTTGGTGCTTCCGAGTGCTCGTTTTCTTTGGCTCCATGGCCTCCACATATCAGGCTCGAGAAAGTCCGCTGTGCAGGTGGAGTTAGAGGCCACGAAGGGCAGTGCGCCTTGTGTTCCTGGTGCGCCTTATCTTATCTTTCCTTCTTGCAAAAGGGGGAGGAAATGTCCTCAACTATGGAGGGGCTGACATTGGGCGGCTGGTACTGGTGGGACCGCGGATGCGTTTAAAATCGTTTCCGTGGCCCTGCCAATGTGCCGCGAATGTGGAACACTATGGGGTTTTAGTAGGTGCGAGTCCGATATAATCCATTCTTGCCCCCGCGAAGCAAGTATGCGTAGACATTTCCTCATTTGAAACTGTAGTTAGGAATAAATACGTAGATAGACATAGCTAGCGTCGATCTTGATTTTATATGAGGTATAAAGCTTGCGTTTAAGGCCTAGGTATTGATTGATACATATATTTATTATATGTCATTATATTAATATGATTCATAAATAGAATGGACGTTACGGATAGGCCTACGTATAGAATTTTGATCGATATATTTTGTCAGACTGTCTTATCTCTATTATTAGTTCAGTGGACGTTCACTTCTGCTGTCAGCGCTAAAATGGCGAAAATCAAATCGCCTCATTATGTCACTATGTATAGCTAGTACATATGTTGAGGTCAGTGAGCGTACTTGTATAATAGAGGTCAGTGTTTGTAATAATGGGTCTGACAATGGTTTTTTACTGTACATGCCAAATAAATCTACAATATAATACGAGAAAAACTGTGTTTTTACTTTTTTCATATCTTAAAAATTGGCTAAGATATTAACGATCAAAGTGCGTGTTTTCGAACGAAGATATTTAAAAACGCAGACGGGCGCTCTCTAGCCGATGACGTCACACCCCCGCTCATACAACAATCGAGCTCTCGTCTGCACGCCGCTGCGCAGTAAAAATCAGAATTTTAAAGTTCTCTGTGGGGAAAAATGGAAAAAAAACTGTATTGTGTCTCAGTGCTTCAATTCAACAGTGAAAACACCTGATAAACTCTTTTTTTATGTGCCTGAGGACCCAACAATGAGGAAAAAGTGGATGACAGCCGTGAAAAGAGTCGATTCAATAGGCCCTAAAACTAAAGCGCACTGCTGTGTGTGTGCTTATCCTTCTTCTCTACCTATCCTTGCCCTACTAAACATACCTACTTGTCTACTTTGATTGTTTAGATAGATAGGTATCTTGCCAAAGTTGCCAACTATACATATGTACTATTTGAACAGCTTAACTGATTTTGATAAAACATGTCTATGAACCACTGTTAAAAAACAACATTAAATATAAAATAAAAAAACAACACGGTTCACTCATTTATGAGCTACAGTACTACAGACAGACATACTGACACATAGACAAACATACAGTCAGACACACATAGCGGTCAAACTTATAACATGCCTCTTTTTGCGTCGAGCATTAATAAATAACCAATAAAAATGGTAAGTACAAATTTGAGACCCACAAGTTAATCAGCACTGATTTTTTTATGTTTTAATGAAAAAAAACTGTAAATGAATAAACTAAAGCGAGCATTGGAAAATTAATCAATAATAGTTAAGTATATGTTATAGTATAACAATAGAACAATAGGTGCCTATTTGCCTAGTTAGAAAACTAATAACTACGTAAATACCTAGGTAGTAGGACTTACCCATATCTGTTATATGGTATATGGGTAAATATTGACATTTTCTATAAGTTTAAACTAATAAAACACATAAAATAATCATCGACCTAGTATTTTTTATCGCCACCCATATTAGGTAAGTATTAAAGCAAACTTTCAGTTAGGTTTAAGTTTGTGCAAATACCTACATAGGTATTTCTTCAAACTTAAATGCTTACTGAGGAGAGTAGGTACCTACGTACCTTTTCATCTTTATTCAACGAATTTTAGCAGCCGCAAAATCCTGATACTTCATGAAATATTGTGCCACCATCAAACTATCCAATCTTGGCAGATTGTCCGACTGCCCTTTTACAAAACCTTCCATTCTAGCACTACACGTTTCACTTCAGTGTAATCTGATTTAGAGGATAATATTATTTCTTTGAAATACAAGCACAAACACTATAAGTAATAGGAATAAAAAGCCGATCGAAAGAAAATGAAACGAGACTCGCGTAATTTGGTCAAACCGCACCGGACCGAGCGCCGCGTTTGTATCGCGGTCGCGGTCTGCGGGGGTGTGACGTCATAGCGTAAGCGTACGTAATCTCTGAAATTCAAAAAGGGGCTTAAACTTCTCGTCATTATAACTTCGGAAATACTGCATGTATTGAAGTGAAATAAAGACTAATATAATGTACATGATCTTTGCTACGATTTTAATAGTATTTGGTAGTAATATTTTGACCCTTTTGTGTTCCCCATTGGCTTAAAAACTTCTTCACAATATATTGATGAGTCAGATTGCGAAATTATTGAGAAATTTAAACGGCAGCTTGAACCAGCAAACAGTCGATGACGAAATTATCTCAAGGCGTCTAAGAAGAAACATTATCTTGAGGTACAAATCACTAAATTGTAAAGAAGTTTTTAAACATCTTATAACAATACAATTGATACTGGCAAAAGTACAGCTGTACGAGTTCATTACTAAAGAAAAAAGAATAAAGTTAATTAATTTGAAGCATAGATATAAGAAAAAAAGAAAAATAGTCTATTTTGCTTATATCTATTGGCTCCAGTACACGTTGGCCGAGCGCGCTTGGCGAGCGCACTCGGCAGATTTTCGTCGTGCCGTTCACACGTTGGCGTGTTTCATTCTGCGTTGGTAGCTAGATGATGATGGACGTTAGGGCAATCGCGGCCGCTGTCATATACTTATACAGCGCTTCACTCTTCTCAGAGTGAACGAAAAAAAAACTACACATAGAACAATAATCCCAGTTTGTCCTTTTTAGGGTTCCGACCTCAAAAGGAAAAAGAAACCTTTATAGGATCTACTAGCTGACCCGTGCCCGCTTCGCTGGGGGTTTTTTCAAAATAAATGATAGCCCAAAAGAAGCCCCTAAGCTACATTATCCCTGAGCAACATAAACGCAGAGATAATTTATAATAATATTTATCATTAGGTAGGTACTCTGAAATCGCAACTAAACATGTATTATTTAATGCAGTTAGGCAAGTTACTTACTCTGGTTTTATTTTTAAGTTGCTCATGTTTGGGGTTCCATATAACTGATTAATTGTGAGAATCAATCAATGAACAATGAATCAATATTTCACTCCATAATTATTAAATCGTAATGTGTTGGTATGCATATAAGTAACATTAAAAATATATTATATTGAATTATATATTTTTTCATACATGTTTTTACCACTTTCCTATCGAATTATATGTGTACATAAACTGTTAAATAAATAAATAAATATTTCCTCATTAGTCTATGTCGCCATGTTGAAACAATTTTATTAAGCCGACACTACAGTCTACTCCGACGCGTAACTATGAACTGAACAACGTGTGAACACTGTTTGCGGCTTGCGCCAAATTCCTTTGATTTGTGCACGGAAAACCGACACTATATGGCTCGTCGGCGAGCGTTGGCCACAAACACCAAATATACACAAAACGGCCCAGTACACGTTGGCCGAGCGCACTCGGCGAGCGCGCTCGGCCAACGTGTACTGGAGCCATATGATTTGAAGACATTTAATGACTATATACAGTAATCTATGATAATGACATTGCTAAGTGACATTGACAGAATGACAGACTAAATAAAATACTTTCGGAATTTCTTTCTTTATTGTCTGTTTTTGATTTTGATTTGTTTTTTATTAGTGATCGATGGCCGTAGTAGCTGCAGTACGCAGAATTACAGATACGGATTAAGAAGAGATAGAATTAAATATTTGCGATATTAACGTATAATATTTGTGTTGTGTTAACAAGCAGATCCATCGCAAATTTCACAACAATGTCTTCCCCTCTCGAAAATTTAGAAACCCAATTAGAAATGTTCATAGAAAATGTTAGACAAATACGTATTATTGTAAGTGATTTTCAACCACAAGGACAAAGTGTTTTGAATCAGAAAATGTAAGGAAAAATTGCAATAACTAAGGGCTCTGTTAAATCTTTATATTTGCATTAAATTAATTTTCATTCTTTACAGACAATCACTTGTTACTGGACTTCAAGAAGTGGATAAACTGAAATCCCAAGTTCATGATATTCATGTCCCTACCGAAGTTTTTGAGTAAGTGTAGTTGTTATATATTTTTTATTTTAAACTAATATAATGTATAGTTAGTTTGTTGTACGAAAAACTAGAAATGGTATTTGATAGGTTTTTTTTTGTATTATGGATAATAACGGAGGCATAGTAATCCTTACTTAACCATACATAATGGTAAAAATTGGTCATTATTAAACATACTTTTCAATGTCTATTTTGATTACAGCTATATTGATCAAGGCCGAAATCCGCAGCTGTACACAAAAGATTGTATTGATAAAGCTTTAGCTAAAAATGAAGAAGTCAAAGGAAAAATTGATTCATATAAACGTTTCAAGAGTCACCTGTTAGCTGAGTTATCAAAAACATTTCCTAATGAAATTGCAAAGTATAAAGCTATCAGAGGTGGTGAATAATCTCATTTGTTAATTAAAATTAAATAAGATTAGTTATAAGCAAATATATTTTAAATGTAGTTTATGTAATTGTAATTTCTGTAAAACTGTCTTGTGATCTTTGTAATTTTGATTGCTAGGTGATTTTTGAAATGTAAGCTGCCATTTCATTAATGTTAGTTAATGAAACAACCACAAGAATATACTTCATTAATGTATAGTTTTGTATCATTATTATAATTGTTACAGCCCGTCATAGGCTTCCCTCAAGAAATGCCACAAAATATCGTCCTGAGCCACCTGCATTCATCAACATGCTGCATGTTTACCAGTTTGTCACTGATACTTACTGGTGAAGGCTATAACATAAATGTTTCTTTAATATAAATCAATACAACATATAGTTATGCATTAACTGTCAGGTTGTGATAACTTAATTCTTTCACTTCACTTTTATTAGTTATGCACGTAATGTCACAACTAAGGCGGTTCCCAAATTTTGTTACATTGGAATATTTCAAGCAGTTTCGAGTTTAAAAGAACACATGAATGATAATTTGTTGATCACTATTTCATTTGAATAACTTAGAAAAAATAAAATACAAATGTGATTTAAAACATTAAAATTTATTTTATGCACATTTTTGGAAATATTGAAACACATTAATTCAAAATAATGAGAGATGACTAAAATTAAAATAAAATAAAATAGTTTAGACAAGCAAACATTAGAAGTGAAAATAATTATATGACTAAAGAATATGAAGAAACACTTTTCTTCTAAAAAGCAGTTTCAATTGTACTGAAATCAATATTGAAAAGGATAGTATAGTAAAAATATGAATGAAAAAAAACAGGCTGAAAGAAACCTGCTTAAATTGTATTTCCCAATGAAAGTATATTGAAACTAGTCTTAGATTATTTGAATAAATATATGTAAATCTCTTCCATTTTAAAAATTTAAGTCTAGCCTAGAATTAAATAATGGTTAAAAATATTGACGTTATTTGGCATGTTTGAATTATAAAACATTTGTAAATAATTCATTACGTATCATAAAATATTATCTTAATTATTTATTACAAAATTATATTGTGTGTTCAACAGGTGTCAGCTCTGTACCAATATGGGTCTGAGTTTCCACAACTGTTTCGTATTCTACACTTTCATCTGTGTTTTCTTCTGGGTTTTTAATTTCAACAGTTTCAGTGTCACTGTCATTTACTTTAGGTCGTTCGCTATGAGCACAGTAGATATTGCTACTGTACTCATCCCACATTTGATAAAACTCTTTCTTCACTGGTTCAACTAGTTGAAGCTTGCTAGTGATGTACACATAGTTCCAATGGTCGCATGAACGGTCATTGCCCCAATTCAGTGTGCCTGTCATGAGAATCCTGTCATCAACTAAACAAAACTTGTGTTGCATAGTGAACATGGGTTCATTTATTTTGTATTTGACTTCCGCTCCTGCAAAAAAATGTTTAATTGTCCTGTGAATAGTAGTCCTAATTGAATTAACAGTTTGTATATTGAACTTGGCATAAAATCCTTTCCCAATTTGCTGCTTGTACATTGACTTTTGAGAGATGCCAAGATTATCTAAAATATACCAAACCTAATATACTTTTTGCTATGACCTGTGATGTAAAAAAATACGGCTGATACGGCAGCCAATCTGAGGAGGATAGCAAAGACTTGCCAAGTGTACAGATGCGTCAAGCAATATACTGATTTGCTTTTTTTTTATAGGATAGTGTGACAAACGAGCACTCAGTCCACCTGATGGTAAGTGGTTGCTGTGGCCCATAGACATCTATTGTTTGCGAATCAAAATGCAGATGCGTTGTCATACGTGAGGACTAAGATTGAATGCCTCTTTTCCAGTAAAAAAGGTTTCCGGTTCTCTACACTCACCATACATCGCGCGATTCGCCCGCCAAGTTATTAGAGACCTGTTGCAGAAGAAACCTATTGTCGCAACAGGTTTTATAAAAGAATGCAACTATTTGCACCATTACGTTAAAGCAACGGTAACGCCCATCTCTACCGCCAAGTGAGACTGATAAGATAAATCCTCTCCACAACAGGAATAGCCCATGTCCGGCTAGGGACTTTTACAGCCTGACATATAAAGCATAAAATAAATTAATATCCCAACCAACTTTAAACACAGAAAACCACAGAATGCGTCGCGCCCTAAGGTCTAACATGAAATTCTGCAACCTGGAATTGTACTGACAGTCCGTTTTACTATCAAACGGCGCCCTAAGGTCTAACATGAAATCCTGCAACCTGGAATTGTACTGACAGTCCGTCTTACTATCAAACGGCGCCCTAAGGTCTAACATGAAATCCTGCAACCTGGAATTGTACTGACAGTCCGCCTTACTATCAAACGGAACACATTAGTGCGTTTCTGCTTGTTGACTAAATTAGGTAACTATGAGAGTGCGAACAACCAACCGAAACGAACTCTAGGTAAAAAAGGAGCCCTATCACCTCAGTGCTAATCTCGAAGAAAAACTCTTGAATTAAAAAAATAGTTAATAACATTAGCAGTTCTGATTGCCGAAACGTAGTATTAAATTGCTAGCTTAGTACGTTGTGTGATGCTTGGCACTTTGTATTAGTGCGACTAGAATTAATAATTAATCACGCAAATTGATGTAATTAATTAGAAGCTATTTATCTACGTAATTTTAGTAGGTATCACAGTGTATGCGTAAATATACAAACATTGCAACCAGTTGTCTGAATACCTCAAAATATTTTTACGTTTGCACCATATATACTAAACGGCAGTAAATTGAATATTTAAATATTTCTTTCACCAACCAGCTTCAATAAGTTCCTTTATAAAAAATTCAGTAGACTCATTGTATCCTGATCGGTCAATAATTATCCGTGCTTTGATATTTTTCTTCTTTATCAGTTGCACCAAGCGGCCTTGAATCGCTGGATTATGAATGCCAGGCATGCATACATTAACACTTTTCTTAGCGGCATCAATAAAACTTATGAGTTTGTCAAAATAATTGTAGGCGTTGTACTGTAATTTACAAAATACCATTACTTCGTTGATCTCCGTGGTGCGACTTTTGTAAAAATAAGCAGCCGCGGACACAGCACAAGTTATTGCAATCGCCGCAGCCGAAGACAGGACAAGTGGATTTAATCTCATTTTATGTAATTTCAAACATAAATGGAATGGATTGGCACTGACTGAGACCTATCTATAATTTTATGCTTTGCTATAAAATACAGAGGCCCTATTTGCAATAATACCATCACGTTTGGTAGATGAAACGACTCTTATTTTACAACTACCTTCATATTGATACAACTTTATAATATCTTCCTGTTTCATTTTACGTTTGTAAAATGGAGACTTAAAAGCATTTTTATATTATGCTTAAGTACGAATGGATATGGCGACTGCAATAATTCGCAAGAGTAGGTACGTACAAGCAAAACTTAATATGTTGAGAGCAAAGATTTGTCATACATTTAGATTAAGTTTAACGAATCATAAGTTTTGGGCAAAGATCCAGTGCTTATATGGTCTTTGATTGACTACCAACAGAAGCCAATATTTGATAAGAGATGAGGGAGAGGCCTATAAGATTCATCGCTTCTGGTGATAAAGAAAATTAAAAGTTTATTTTCTAGACCTACTGAAAGACCTTCGAAATTAAATTGGTATTGTCGAAAAAGAAGTTTTCTAATTCTCTACACTTACCATACGAAACAGCAGCATTAAGCTGCTATTTTACGCTGTTATTCTGTGAGAGTTCCCCGGTCGAGCCTAATAATTCGTGCTACAACTATACAACTAATATAGCTGCAGCATGACTCTACCACGTGACAAATTGGTCAGTTATAACAACGTGGTCTTAAGTAAACTTTTTTTTATTTTTCTTTTTTTTTTAGGCAGTTTACAAACATAAATTGCACAAGGACAAACATCCAGACCTGGAACAATTATTTGTAAGCCATACAAATACTTGTTACGTGCGGGATTCGAACCCGCGGCCCCAGCGCAACAACTGATTGCTAAGCCACTGCGCCACGGAGTCGTCTAAACGTGCTATTAATCGTTGTCACAAATCAAGCAAATAACGTTGCTCGATTAGTTAAAACTAATGTAGTTTCTTTTAATCATAGTTGAAAAAATAAGATCACCGAAGATAATAGAATCAGGCGTTACTTTGCGGAAGTCCATTATATTAAAGTTGACAAAAAAATACTTTGCGTAAATCCGCTCGATTTTATCGAGCGGATCTACGCAAAGTTTAAGATCTTTTTTTTTAAGATCAACTTTAAGATCACCTAACTCTTCTTCATTAAAAAACATACTGTACTACCTATCCCAGGCATGTTACTTCAAAAGATGACTCATTTATCCTAGATTTCAAAATGGTATAAATACCAGGGGCATAGCTACCGCCGTATCTAGGGTTACCAGATGAAAAAATTAAAAGTCCGGAGAAGAGGCCTGATTTCTATTTAAAAATCCTGAGATTGTTTTTACAGTTTGAGAAGAAAACCTTACTTAAAAAGGTATCTTCACATATTAAGTATGATAAAACTGTACTTGGATAAATAAGTTTTGATTTTAATTGTGGAATTATTACCAAAAGAAAATTATTTTTAGTTTGTTTAACTTTTTATTAAAGAGATCTTTAAAATGTAAGCTGTATTATATTGAAAGTTCTAAAATTCCTGAGATTTCATGAGATTTTCAAAATCCAGCCGCAATCCTGAGAAGAGTCTAAAAATCTTGAAATCTCAGGACAAATCCTGAGATATGGTAACCCTAGCCGTATCAGCCGTATCAATGATACGGGGCCCCTGGGCTAAAGAGGCCCCGAACATATGTAAGCAAAAATTCTAAGGACTTCTCTGGGACAGGATGTTTGTTTGAATTGTTTGGCTAGCTTAGTTCCTAGGAATATTAATTGTAAGTAATAACTTATAATCAATATTTAATTATTCTAATTCAGTGCGAGAGTTTTTGTTCCTTTTGTGAAAAATCTTTACCCTCTAAGGCACGCTACTCCACTGATAAATAGGTATCACTTAGTCTTATATCCTAAAAAATAAAAATAATTTGATTTTCTGAAGTAAGACTTAAAATCAAAACAGTTCTACACCTACACCACAATACATTTTCATCTATTAAATATTGAATTCAACAAGTGTAAATGAGACAAATGTTTTTGAATGAAACAAATGACGACGCAAATTCATATGAGTTAAAAGGAGACGGGTCGAGATGCTATTTGATGTAATTGGCTGAAACAGATGGTGACGCTTTGGCTGTTGTTTGTCTTTTAATGGTTATTGGTCAGTACGTTACACTCCTTGTTTAACATTCAGGTTCGGATTCTGCGCTTGGGCTTTGTAGACTCCGGACATGTCGGTCGAGCTCACTCCCGTCACTCCACTCTTATTGCCCCTGCGCATGAATTATCTTTTACACCGAAATACACCATTTCGCTTGGTGCTCTGTGTTTCGTTGCTGCATTGGTGTGTTCACTGTGGTGCGCGAAGCACGCTGTGCAGGGAGACAGTAGTTTCACTGTGTTGTAGTGAAGTGTATCGGACGCTTGTTGTGGTGCAATGTTTGTGCGTAACTCAGGAGAGTCTTCCTGGTACTGTGGTATCGGCAACCGTAAGTAGAGTGAAACACACCCGGTGTCTTAGAGGCGGCCATCGTTTTTAATTTTTGTGTTGCTTGTTGCAATAGGCAATAGCTAGGTACTCACCCTAGCGTACCTACGCACTAAGTGTATAGGTGTTCGTTTTAGGCACACACCTCTTGGAGGACCTCTCGAAGCTTGGTACACATCTGTGCCTTTAACCTTGCCTGCCCCGACATATGGGCTGTGTTTATTGCACATGCATGTATGCAGCATGTCTGGCCCCCTGCTGACCGTCCGATTGTGCGGATTGACAACCCGTTGTCGCCAAGCACCGGATCTACGTCACCCATGTCCATCGACACTCTTTACGAGGCCGCATCCCCCGTGCCTTCCGCGATACCCATCCGCGACCCGTCTCCAGTCTTCTCGGATGCCGAACCAGGCTTCGACATGGAGACCGAAACGCGCAAGCCCGAAGACGAAGGCGTCACCCTCGTCCAGGACAAAAAGCGCAAACGCGTTGCCCCAAAAAAGGCAGCCGAGCTTAACTCGGCCGCCTTGTCCCCCACCGACACTCCGATCAAAAAGCCAGACCCCGCGACGCGTGCTAAATCTACCAAGCCCGCAGTAAATGGTTCCCCTGCTGAACGTAGAGAAAAACCGGCGCCTTCCATCGTCATTCAAGACAAACCAAAATGGAGCAACCTATCATACTGGTTAGACTCCACAAAAAATCTATTGCCCTAAGGTGCAAAAGGCTGGACAAGTCATTCGCGTGTACGTAAACTCGACCGAGGAATTCCGCAGTGTAACAAATCACCTACGCGCCCAGCAAATAAGCTTCCACACATACGCCTTCCCAGAGGAGCGTAACTTTCGTGTTGTCGTCCGTGCTCTCCCCAAAGAGCTCGAGACTGAGCACATTCTTAACGACTTCAAAGCCCAAAATCTCCCAGTCCGGGAGGTGCACAGGATGCACCACCACACCGATAAAAATCGCTTCTTAGACTTGTGCCTTGTCATTCCGGACCTGTCTCCGGAAGGAAATGAGATTTTTAAATTTCTTTCTTTTTTATTTTTTTGCCGCGAGGAGGGACAGTCGACAGGGCAATAGTCGCCTCACGGCCAGTGCCGACCACCCAGGCCCCAAAATCGAAGCCCGTCCCACAAGGCTCATCCTCCTTCACCGCTAACTTCTCGCTAGTCTGTGGCTTCATCAGTAACATTAACGTTGCGAATTATTCCCTTTGGCACGCAAACTACGCGGAGCCACTACCCCACAGGAGACGCTCAACGCCACGATTGAGCACATAGGGCTAATCGACGCAATCTGGTCTTTCCAGTGCGCCTAAATAACTTAATTAAAAATCAAAATGGCAGTACAATCTTTAGGTAAAATTAAACCACGCTCTCGCGTCGCGGTCTTTAACGCGAACGGCCTCAGAGAACAAAAAGACGAGATCGCGCTCTTCCTGCGCAACCACGATATACATGTTATGTTAGTACAAGAGACTTTTTGAAACCTAGCCACCGCGACCCTAAGATCGCAAACTACATCTTAGTAAGAAATAATAGGTTGACCAGCCATAGATGCACTGCGTACCAATCGACGCCCCTCCGTTGACCAACATAGAAGTTTCTATTTGTAGTCTCTCTGACAAGTCGCCACTTACCACCGTTTTGGCTTACATACCGCCACTCAAACGTATAGTTGCATCAGACCTTGCAAAATTATTTAACCTAGGCTCTGGACCCTAGGTTAAATAATTTTGCAAGGTCATAATAGCTGGAGGTCTCAACAGTAAGCATTCCTCCTGGAACTCGCTTACAAGCAATCCCAATGATATGCATTGTTCGATCTCACGGAGCGACTAAACTTCGATGTTATCGCGCCTGAGACTCCAACCCGCTATCCATTCGCTACCAGTCATCAACCGGACGTCTTTGACGTAGCGGTACTCAAAAACATCCGGTTGTCGATATCATCAATTGAAACAAAATTAGAACTCGACTCGGACTATAGACCAGTCTTATTGCAGCTGGGCCAGCCCGCAGGTGAGGTCTTTCAGACCAAAACCATCGTGGACTGGCGTAAACTCGAGGTCAAACTCGAATCTACGACCTCCCAGCACTTAAACAAAATTCCAGACAAGATAGACTCGGTGGAGGAGGCCAATGAGGCGATTAGCGCCCTATCGGCCCACCTCACCTCTATAGTTGAGGAATGCTCTCGTAAGGTTCATGCGTCGAGCAATCAATACATGATGCTTCCGAATGGTGTTAGTCAACTGATCAGAGCAAAATACGCAGCCCTAAGACAATACGATCATTATCGTACCATAGAAAACAAACTGCGATTGCGCAACCTCCAAAACGAGGTGACGCAGCACGTTAAAGAATTTAGACAGGATAAGTGGGATAATCTCCTTACAGATATCGAGCCATCTCAAACTGCCTTCTGGCAGTTGACGCGACCTCTGAAAGCAGAACAATCACAACAAAACCTCTCATCAGGCCAGGAAACCCCGATCTCGCCTTTGACGACTCCGAAAAGGCCGAATGCCTCGCTGACAGTATAGAGAGCCAATGCACTCCCTCTAGCGAACCAACAGATCCCGCTCACTTTCCTCGTAAATACGTATTCACTAACAAACTTCTTCCAGACGAACAGTTCGGTTTCAGACCCGAACACTCGTGCACCGAACAGTTACATCGCCTCACAGAATATATTCTGAAAAGGATTCAATCTCCCACAAAGTTGTGGCAGAACCACCTTAACCGGTGCCATCTTCCTCAATGTCGCAAAAGCGTTTGATAAAGTCTGTCACGACGGCTTACTTTACAAGCTGTACAAACTCAAAATGCCTGATAGACTCATCCACATCACCAGAGCCTTCCTTGCCAATCGCCATTTTCGCTATCGAATAGATGGTACTCGGTCTACAAAGCGCCCTCTGAAGGCTGGAGTCCCACAAGGCTCCGTCCTCTCCCCATTACTCTTCACATTCTTCACGAGTGACATCCCGAAAGACCCAGTAGTGAATACTGCCCTTTCCGCAGATGACACGGCACTTTACGTCGCTCATCCACATTCAGGATACCTCACCAAGATGCTCCAAACAGCCGTCAACCGCCGAGGCGATTGGTTCCGCTTATGGAAAATCGAAGTGAACCCTGAGAAAAGTGTAGCAATACGTTTTTAAAGGTCAATCGTCAAATCAAAAACCCCAATCACCCTGTACGGCTGCCACATCCCTGGCAATCAACAGCCAAATATCACATTTCACCACGGTATGACATTCGCGAAACATTCGCGATCATTTGTACGACCTCCAAGTCATCAAAAATAGATTCATTCGCATAGCCACCGGAGCGAAATTACCAGCGAAACTCTGACTTACACAGGGACTGTCAACTTCCAACGATCTCTAAATACTTCAAGTATATGTCTCGATGCTATTTCGAGAGGGCCGATTCACTCCCTAATCAGCTAGTGATAAGCGCAGCCACCTACGCTCCAACCCCGAACGTTACGCTAACCCTGCGGAGGCCACGCAACATTCTAATCGAACCCCCTGTTCCGCTAGATGCCGATGACCAAAATGTCGCCGGCCAGTCACACCCAAACACTAAACATTCGCCTAGTGCCACAAACACTAATAGGACAGCAACGGATGGGACGCAGCAAGTCCGCAGACGGGCGCATCGCACATCTCTCCATACCGCGTACACACCATACACCCGCGTCCCTGGGCGGTTCTCACCGCCCAGAACATCGAACGAAACGAGTTAGCCATCAGAGCCGGGGCCCACCAGCCCCTCTCCCCTGGGCGGTTCTCACCGCCCAGAACATCGAACGAAACGAGTTAGCCATCAGAGCCGGGGCCCACCAGCCCCTCTTCGGACGGCGGATAGACAACTCACCCACGTCATGATGTGTTTTTGGCAGCATCAAGGAGTATTTATGTTGATGTTGATGTAGCGATAATGTGATCACTGAACACAATTCATCTCACCCCTAGATTATCGATCTAGGGACAACGTGGCTTATGCAGCGTTGCACCAAAATAAATAATCTCCCCCTCCTCTTTTTTATAAGCTCGCGGCCTCAATGGCTGCGAGCCCTGTGTCCAATGATGCTGCAAGAGCCGCATAGGCTATGGTCTTACACAGCTGGTTACTTAGCCTACGCGGATTCCAGACGTGGAGGATCATACACCTTCCTTGTTGGACCTTCTGCTGACCTCTCATCCGGACGGATATCAGGTTTCCGTCGACGCTCCTTTAGGCTTGTCGGACTATTGTCTTGTCTGGAGTGTGGTCCCACTCACACTAACGTCGCAGTTGCATTCTGCAGGCTACCGCCGTGTTTACGCTTTTTAGGCCGATTTGCCAATCGGGTTCCCGCCTTGTCATGGCGGGGGGCTTAGTAGCCGCGGCTTGATCACCCGCGGTGAACAAAGAGGAACCCCTTGGCTGGCCCGTGGTGTAGGGCCGGCCCGAGGTGGCCACTTCGAGTGGGCTTATCGAGCCCATTTCGGATGTGTGTTGGTGGGCTGCGGTGGGAGAGGTGTCCTCTCCCCCTGCCGCTGCAGCCGAGGTGAAGTCGCGAAGGAAGAGATACATTGTAACTTCATGCTCAGAAGAGCTAGAACCCAGAGTCGTAAAGCCAGCTATTAAAAAAGAAATGGGATTGCTAATGCTATTGGCGCGAATTTTGACATTGACAAACAACGCAACAACAACAAGTCTGAGAAGACCTGTGGAGAAGACATTTTCATTTTCGAACAATATTAGAAATTTATTACGATTATGGTGAATTTATACGTTTATTATGTAATATTAAGCGTTAGTATTTCAATAAAAATATCATGAAGGTAAAAACCTAAAGTTTGATGCATCACGCATTTTTCTTTTATCGACGCAATTATGGGTATCACCGGATTAATCCCATTCCTGGAAAAAGCCTCCAGAAGGGCAAATGTTAGTGAGTTTAGTGGCTGTACCGTTGCAATAGATTCGTACTGTTGGTTACACAAAGGCGCCTTTGCTTGTGCGGATAAATTGGTACAAGGAGTGGATACAGATGTGTAAGTAGCCTTCTATTTATATTATAGACAAGAGAAATCTGCAAGACTTACAAATTTTAACAAGAATCATGATCCTAAGTAACGAAATTATGTTTAATAATTTAAAATTAAAATGTATGTTTGTACCAGTGGAGTAGTGTGCCTTAAAGGTGCCCTGTATCAAAATTTGTCGGGGGGGGGGGGGGGGGGGGGCAAATGAAGGGGGTAAAGATTTTTCACAAAAGGAACAAAACTCTCGCATTGAATTAAAATAATTATATATTGATTATAAGTTATTACTTACAATTAATATTCCTAGGAACTAAGCTAGCCAGACAATTCAGCCAGTAATAATCAAAATAAGGGAAAATATTTTTAGCACAATTTTTTTTGTTTCCAGTTATGTGAAATACTGTATAAAATATGTATCAATGCTGCTTTCTAAAAATATTAAGCCAATATTGGTGTTTGATGGTCGTCACCTTCCAGCTAAAGCAATGACTGAATCGAAGAGGAGAGAGTAAGTTTTTTGTTCCTTCACATTTTAAATATTCTTGTAGTTAAACAACTTTTTGTTCCAAGCTAAATTCTTTTCTCTCACCTCACTGACATCATATCAATAAATTATTATTTTTTGAAAAATTTCTAAACTTTAGTGCAATGTTATACCAAACATGCACTTAATTAAATAAGTACATTGAGCACATTCATATCTCACATGTACAACAGCCTTTTGTACTAGAAAGAGCAAACTAGCTGAGACAGCTTGCCAACTTTGCTGTTCACTTCTGCACACACCCTTCATTGTTGCCTAACACAAGTACATAAGTTCATCATCATCATTACAGCCCTTCACAAGTCCACTGCTGAACATAGGCCTCCCCCAAAGAATGCAAAGTACATAAGTTAGTCGACTTTAAAAATATTAAGAAGTTGTAAATATTAACATTGCGGCGGAAGTAAGAAAAATATGTCTGAAACTCATTAAGGTTATTGTTAAAAATAATAATAGTGTGAGAGTGCATGTGAACTTGCTTGCTCAATTAATCCATATCGGCAATAAAACAGCATACTGCACTACACATTAAGTATAGCACAGTAACAATTGGACCATACCGTAACATGCCAGGGTGTCATAGGATAGACATAATTACATCAAACCAAAAATAGATTAAGTATAGATAAACAGTGTTGCTGTTGCACCAACTGCAACAATGCTTAGCTCGATGTGACAGAGCAGCTTCACTGTAACACTATCACTAACATGACACTAATAAAGATTATAGAATGATTGATCCCTGCGCCATACTTTATCCTCCTCCAACTAGTGGAGATTTAGAGTTCTTTTTTCTTCTTCTTCTTTATTTTATGGCTTCTCTTAAAAGAATTCTGCCAATGTCAAGTCAGTCATGGGAGTGACAACAAAGTAAATAAAATATATTTTCTTTTATAATAATTTGCTTTTGTGATTGGCTTCTAATCTACAACAAAAGACAACACAAACAATTATTATTCTCCCACCAACAATAATCAGTAATATGTTACAACTTAATATTATTAGTATAAATAACATTACATAAAATAGGAACAAATGAGGATAACACGAGAGATAGCAGACAGGTAGAATTAGTAAGACAAGTTCTTTCATCACTTTTTTGTATTTTATTTTCTTTTCTAGCCTCATTCCACAAATATAATAGGCAAAATTTACACATCTAAGATATAATTTATCTAATCTATTACAGATCTCGACACATATCTAAAAAGAGAGCAGCAGAATTACTTAGTTTGGGAAAGGTACCTAATTTAACATTTTTGTTATTAATTAATTTTCTGTTTTTATGCTGTGTCGTGGCGGTGTAAGAGAGTACATCACCACATTTCGTCCCATATGTGTCGTTTGAGGTGAATTTGGGAAATAACAGGAAATTATTGGCATCCGATAATATTCAGACAGTGGATGGCAGCATCTAAAGTACGAGTCATTTCACACTGCGACTGTCATGCACCTGCGAAGTGTGACAATTTAGCATCCTTAAAGTCTGTTTGAAGGCAGAGATTCTAAACGTGGTAGAGCCATGCTGCAGCTATATTATGGTTGCAGCACGAATGGTTCGGCTCGATCGGGGAAGGACCACGCTCTCACAGAATACCAGAATAAAATAGTAGCTTAACGCTGCTGTGTTTCGTATGGTGAGTGTAGAGAACAAGAGACCCTTTTTACTGGAACGAGGCATTCCATCTTAGTCCTCACGGGTGACAACGCATCTACATTTTGATTTGTAATAGACGATAGATGTAGATGTCTATGGGCCGCAGCAACCACTTACCATCAGGTGGACTGTGTGCTCGTTTGTCACTCTTATCCTATAAATAAAAACTCATTACAAATTGTGGACCGCTAATTACTTTTGCTGATTGATAATAGAAAAGCCGACATGTCGGTTCGACAGTTGTGAGCCTTGTTACAGAAAACTGTGCTTGCAGCGATAAGCAATGCTCCTGTGTGACAAGCGATACTTAAGCAACAGTAGCTATTGTGAGACGTTTTCATAATATTTATCAACTCCCAGCGAATACACTAAATAATGATAGAGGCCAATATCCAGCAGTGGTATTTTATTGACAAAGAAGAAGAACATTCATTTCTTTATATTACATGTTGTGTAGGTTTATATCTGTACATAGTTTGTTTTGTTAGTAAAGTTACAGCCTATGGGACATCCCACTGCTGGGCACAGCCCTCCTCTCATTTCTGAGAGGGTTTTAGGGCAAGGATATGTCCGCTGCGCTGCCACAATGCATGTCGGCGACCTTCACATGTCTTCTAAAATTTTTTTTCTTATTTCTATCGACATGCAGGATTTCTCACGATGTTTTCCTTCACCGCTGAGCATGTGGTAAATCAGTACTTAAAATTGCAATTAATAATTTCATTGGTGCCGGAGGGGGCGAACCTGGGTTACGCGTGAAATTTACAGCGAGCACCTAGCCCCTGACCTACTACAGCTCTGTTTTGTTAGTAATTATTCTGTATTTTCTTTTAGATGGATGAAGCGCGTTCATACATGCGCCGGAGTGTGGACGTTACTCACGAGATGGCGCTGGCGCTTATCAAAGAGTGCAGAAACCGTAATGTGGATTGCATTGTAGCACCCTATGAGGCTGACGCGCAACTTGCTTACCTTAATATTAAGAATATTGCACAGTTAGTTATCACTGAGGACTCTGATTTAATTTTGTTTGGATGCACTAAGGTAAATTCTTTTATATGCAATCTTAGTACTTTAAATGAGCAATTTAATTTATTTATGGCTAAAACTAGGTCTTGCTGGTTTGATTTCAGGTAAAAGTAAAGGTAAAGTAACATACAAATGATAATATTAAATTGACTATGTATGACTTCTATTTACTTTGTCAAAAATATGCATGCACCCAATCACTTTTACATGGTAGAGATATGACACAGCTATATTAATAGTATAGTTGTAGCACGAATGGATCAGCTCGACCGGGGAAGGAACATGTTTTCACAGAATACCAGCATAAAATAGCGGCTCCGCTCTGCTGTGTTTCATATGGTGAGTGTAGAGAACCGGAGACCCTTTTTACTGGAATCGAGGCATTCTATCTTCGTCCTAACTGGTGATATCGCAACTGCATTTCGGTTTGTAATTGAGGATAGATGTCTATGGGCCACAACAACCACTTACCATCGGGTGGACTGTGTGCTCGTTTGTCACCCTTATCTTATAAAAATAAATCAAGTAATATCAGAGACCGTATGTTAATTTGCGAATAAATCGAATACACTCAAGTTTAACCATGCAGTTAGTTGTAGCAGCTAAACCTAGATATAACCACAGCCAGTCCAGCTTTTAGTCGTTACCACTGGCATGCCCATATTCTTGACACAAGGGAAGTTCAATTTTTTTTATATGTCTTTCCCGATGCTGACCAACTCCAGGATATTTTTACCTGGCATAAATACAAGATGATAATACCGCCAACTATTGGAAACCGTATGAACTTTCTAGAATTTCTTAATTAAAAAGTCTTCCTAATTCTTTTCTATTTTTCGTACATTACAGCCTATCAAGTCTTAACTAAACATAGGTCTCCTGCAAATATTACCTCTTATTATTATTATTATTATTTAACAGGCCAGCAGTTGAAACAACTGATATAAGGCCGTATCCTATTTTCAAATGTGTAATAACTATATTTTAGTTGTTTATCTAATCTGTTCTTGAATTGGTTAATATATTGTGTAGATATCACTTCTGGCGGCAGCTTGCATGCTTCAACCACTCTTTGGCTAAAAAAGTGCTTGTGTGGGATATTATATAACACGGCTTTAGTAAGTTTGAAGTGATGTCCCCTAAGATGTGTGTTTTTTGAATACTGGAATAAATCTTTATCAAAATTTTCTAGATCGTAGTGTCCATATATAATTTTATATGTTTCGATCAAGTCTCCTCGTTTTCTGCGACCTTTCAGAGTCATTAGTTTAAGTTTATTCAGCCTTTCCTCATATGGTGTTTTTCAATACTCTTTTGAAAATCTGCGTTGAACCTTCTCCAGTAACTCCATATCCTTCTTGAAATAGGGGCTCCAGATTTGGAATGCATATTCCAAAATAGGTCGAATGTATGTTTTATGTATTTTTAGCATCATTTCTGATGTAAGATGCCAGAAGGCTTTTCTAATAAGGCAAATAAAACTGTTTGCTTTTTTAGTTATCACTGTAATGTTATGTTCCCATTTTATTTTTATTTTATCGTTACTTATATGCACATGTAAATTTTTTTGTAGTTTAACTTCTTCCAGAGGTGTATCATCGATTTTATATATGAAACGAGGGTTTCGGTTTCCTATATGGAGGACTATGTACTTATTTTGTTTTTAATTTGATAAGCCACTTTTTTGACCAATCTGATATTTTGAGATCAAAGGTAAGCTTTGTATTTCTTTTTCATCTGAGAATGTGTCGCCAATCCTTACCTGAAGGTTATTTGTCGTAAAATAGACTCAATCCAAGCTAACAATATCCCTCGAACACCAACAAATTCCAATTTATGTAAAAGTCTGCATATTAGTACTTTATCAAAAGCTTTTTCGTAATCCAGATATACGAGTATAACATCTATTGGTTCTCGATCATTTTGACTGGTGACCCAGGATGACAAGTAAGATACAAGTTGGATATTGGTGATCTATGAGGACAAAAACCATATTGCTGATTGCCGATAGTATGATCAATAGTTAATTCGTGCCCTCTATATAGTCCACATAACAGTATTCTTTGAGAACCTACTTCTATGTCTACCGATAAACATTCTCAAGAGTCATACTTTGTGTTATATTGACTATTTCGCTTTTTATATTATTATTCAATAAAAAAATAAAGATTCCTCCACTTCGTTATCAGTATGGTCGTCTCTGTATAAGTCGTAACCCGGTATTTTTATCAGTGTCAGGTATATTTGGTTTTAGCCATGTTTCTAGAGGATTATAATTGAGGGTTTCAGTTGATCAACTGTTGCAATGAATAAGTCCAGTTTAGATGTTATCGATTGTATGTTTGTGTACAAGATTATTATTGTTAAGAGTGCGGAAGATAGGGAAGATCGCGTTTTTTGTGTTAAAAAGATTTACTAGTGAGGGTCGGTGAATTGAAATTAGTTTTTTATCTCTTATTTATAGATAATTTTAGGCTGCCCTTGTATATGACTTGCTGACTTGATAGTCAAGCCTTGTTCTCCATTATTGGCACATTTCTCTAATTCTCACGGAGGTATTTCAAGTACTCGCGTTGCATGGCAGTTTAGTATGATTTAATAATTGACAGTTTATCCAGTTTAGATTTGCTACGAAGTATCTCAATAGCATCATATTTAGAATTCATTATCACTTTAATGGTGCGTGGAGCCCCTGCTTGAGTCTTACGTGCACTAAGAACGAATACTTTCACATTATCACAGCTCACTGCTTTGCTGACACAAGTTATTATTTTCCTGAGGTTGATTCTCGTACGTCGTAAATTATTATATTGTTAGCTCTCTTAGTGCGGTCAGTCAATTCTTGTATCACCCCTTCTGTTTCAAGCATGTTTTGACGTAATCGCAAGTGGTGTACTTCTTTAGTAAGTTTGTTTCAATATATTTGGTATTTGCGCCATTAGTGATTTACAATCGACACATAAGAAATAAACCACTCGAGCTATTGTCTTTAACTCGAACACTCTTACTTCAGTTGGTGACATTCCATGACAATCACCACATACGAGGGTGACACTGAAAGTTCTTAGAAAATCAAAAACTGAACAAACTAGCAAGTTATTAGTTTTATTATATTCTTTCAAAATAGTGGCCATTTATATTAGTACATCGCTGCATCCGATGGAACCACCGAGAAAAGCACTTTGCCTACTTGTCCTTAGTGGTCTCTTCGACGGCATTTTGAAACACAGCCACTGCTTCCTCGGCGTCCATAAAACGAAAGAAGTTTTTCTTTTATTTTCGGAAATAAATAAAAATCACGAGGTCGGGGATATAGGGCGGGTGACCCAGTAATTCCACCTCTGACGTCGCCAAGTAGTCGATTGTTTGCTTGGCGGTGTGCGACGAAGCGTTGTCGTGGTGAAGGAGGATTTTCCAAGACAATTGGCAAACAATTGTTAGTGTACTACTCTGCAGTAACTGTTTTTCGATCTTCTAAAACAATTGTTGCGTAATGATCTGTCCTTCCGAAGAAAGAGGCCACCATCCTTTCCCACGCTTCGACCTCTCTTCACTTTAGTTGGCAACTCCTCGGAAGGAAACTCCCAGACAGCAGACTGTCTCTTAGTTTCAGGATCATAACAATGAATCCAGCTTTGGTCACCCGTAAGTATATCGAAAACAGCATTTGAGTCACCTCTGTTAAATCTTTGAACCATTTCACAACACCAATCAACATGACGGAGTTTTTGAGCTTCTGTCAAATTATGAGGTATCCACCGGGCACAAAGCTTCCTGACCGCTAAATATTCATGGAGGATTTTGTGCACTTGACTCATACCGATGCCTAATCTTGTCCGAATCTGCTGATAAGTCACACTTGTCAGTCTCTATCACACGCCGCACAACACTGATGTTATCTTCAGTCGTCGCCCAAAAATGCCGTCCCTCATGCAGATCATCGGTGAGATTAGTGCGACCATGAAGCTAATACAAAGGGGAGACGGCATAAGCAACTGTGCACTGTGATTCAAAGTAGGTCCCGACGTTATCATAGTGGGCGTGGCTTTAGTTAGTGTACTGCACAGAGTACATTATGGTGTACTGTCAGCATTCGTTCTGTGCGCTTATGTGTTGAAAAAATCGCAAATCGGTGTATTTTCGTAGTATTAAGAATAAAAGGATGAAGTGTTGTGTTTTATTGTGTAAAAACTACTCAGATAGACGCTCTGATGTTATGGATGGCATCACATTTCATTTGTAAATAATTTTACACCTAATTTATTAAAATAGTTCGAAGGTTATATATATATATATATATATATAGGTTTATAGGTTTATATAATACGAAGGGTCTGAAATTTGTTTTGCATTCATACATAAAGAAATTTTAATCGCAAAATATTATTTTTGTACTCGTAGTTTATAATCATTTTAAGAACAGGCCGTATTCTCGTCAAGTAAACCTCATAAAAATAACAAAAAGACAGGGCCCTAATTAGAATTCAATTATTTTTCCCAGTAATCCATCTTTTAATATTAAAATGCAGGAAATTGTACTTAGGCTGATTTTTACGAAATGTTTAAGTTATATTTAAGTGACATTCTATATGCAAAGAATCACTTAAATACAATCAGCCATTGTAGCCCTACTGTATAAGCACTTCAGCACTTCGATATATCGACAGTCAACTTGGCACCGCTGAAGGGACTGCAGCACCGCCCAAATTTCGACGGAATCAAAGGCTTTCTCATAGTCCACATACGCCAGACATAGTGGCAAATTGTACTCCTCTGACTTCTGTATAATTTGCCGAAGGGTGTGTATGTGGTCTATGGTGCTAAAGCCCTTTCGGAAACCGGCTTGTTCGGGAGGCTGGAAGTCGTCAAGTCTGCGCGCGAGACGATTCGTAATGACTTTCGAAAACAGTACGTAGACGCGGCTCAGAAGGGAAATCGGTCTGTAGTTCTTCAAGAGAGCGTTGTCACCTTTCTTGAAAAACAAGACCACCGCACTGCTCCACGCCTCCGGTGTAATGCCACCATGGAGAATGGAATTAAAGAGCCTCTGAAGGACTTCAAGTACCGGTGTTCCACCCGCTTTCAGAAGCTCCGCTGTAATTCCATCCTCGCCTGGGGCCTTGCCGTTTTTAAGATGCTGGAGAGCCATTCTAATCTCGCTCAGACTGACGTCCGGGATATCTTCGGAATAGTGTCGGATAAGACTCGCTCTTGGATTGTTACTCACACTTGCGTGTGGCTCCAACGATGACGTGTACAGCTGCCCATAGAACCTCTCAATCCCACTCAAAATCTCAGGTGCCCCGGAAACGATGCTGCCACACTCGGTCCTCAGCTTTGACAGTTGGCTCTTTCTGGCAGACAGATCTCTGGCAAAGACTTTGGAGCCTTGGTTCCGCTCGATCGCTTCTTCAATACAAGCTGTATTGAAGTTCCACTACATGCATTTGGAGATCTGTCTGTTCAGTTGCCTGTATGCTGTGAAATCTGTTGAAGAATGTAGCTTCATCTCCCGTCTAACAGCCATGAGATTAAGAGTGTGATCGGAGAGTTTTTGTGTTCTTCTGCGGCGGGTCTTGCAGAACTTAGCTCCGACCGCATGGACAGTTTCCACGAGCTTGTTATTCATATCGTCCACTTCATTGCAGTTTTCTAGGAACTGGAAACTGTTTTGTAACTCGAGCTGAAAGATTTCAGGACTTTGGAACAGCACGAGGGGGACGGAGCGTTGACTTCATTAGACGAGACCTCTCCAACTTAAAGTTTAGGTTCAGTGTGCCTCTAACCATTCGGTGATCGCTACCAGTTTTCACCCTCGCGATCACGGAGACATCACTAAACAGACGACAAGTCTGGTCGTCATAATGAAGTCAATCTCATTTTTTGTCGAACCGTCGGGGCTCGACCAGGTCCACTTCCTGTGGGGCCGCTTCTGGGAGAAAGAGTTCATCGTAAAGAGTCCCTCTTTCTCCATGAAGTCGGCCAACTGCTGGCCCCTTGGGTTCCGTTGCCCTATTCCAAATTTCCCTACTTTCAGCTCACCGTTCTCTCTTGTGCCTAGTTTTGCATTGAAGTCTCCCATTAACACCGTATATTGGGTTTTGGAGGAATGCATGGCTCTAGAGATATCCTCATACATTTCCTCCACCTCCTCATCGGGGTGTGCCGAGGTTGGTGCGTAAACCTGTATGACCTTCAGCGAATACCGTTTGGTGATTCTGAGTATAAGGTACGCAACCCTCGTCGACACACTCTCGATCATTACTATGTTGTTAACGAGAGACTTGTGGACAATAAATCCGACACCTCCGACAGATGGTCGCCCTCCGGGTGATAGAGCAAGTTGCCGGATTCGAGGATTACCGTGTCCTCCCCCTCTCTTCGGACTTTGGATAATCCTATGATATGCCAGCGTAACTTGTCTATCTCTTCTTCCAGCTCCACGATCATCTCGTCAGTCCTCAGGGTGCGTGCGTTGTACGTTGCCAGGTCTAGTCGTCTAAGGTGGCAACCGAACTTCCACCGGAGATTCTTAGCACCCCCTGCCCCGCCGTTACCATGGTCGCTACCGTAGCCAGGAATAGCGGGGCCGCCGGGGACTGGGTCCCGTCTCTTTGTTACTCTCTTCATAGGAGAGTATTTGCCATAGTTGCCACGCTTGGCGAGCAGGTTGGCAACCGCAGTTATTTTATTGTAATTTCGGCTACTATCAGGAAGATGCTGCAGCCCATCTCCTGCATGTTTCCCTTTGTCGCCTTTTACGACACCCACGGGAAGATATGGGGTAGTGGATATTCTTGACCGCCACTACACGGCTCGTCACGGCTAATAAAATACATACACAATAATATTGGCAAAGAGTTCCATTTTAAAAATTTCAACTTATTTTTTTATTATATCGTTAACAAATGGCCAGTTCTAAAACTTTCCGTTTCGTACTCGTAAAATGCTATATTTAGAACATTTAGAGGTTTTGGACTCATTTTATATGTAATTTTGTTTATTTTTACTAAAATAGTAGAAAATTTCTTGTAATGGCAAAACTCTTGTCTATACGTCGCTTTCACTGACAGATCCGGAATATAAATGTAAAAGAAAAATAAAATTATGAAGGTAGTCTTATGAATTATTTTGCCATAGTTGCCACATGGCAGGCGGATTGGCAACTGCAGTTTTCTTTTATTTTGTGTTGTTATCAGGAAGATGGTGCTGGCAACTAGGGATACATCCGATACCGATGCCGATATATCTAAGCTTACCAATATATCGGCATCGGCGATATTTTTATGGCCGTTTCAACGATAGTTTTCAAATTTCACTCTTTAAAAATGTAATGTAAACGCGGGTGTTGTCTCGTCTATTTCGTTGCAAACGAGGCGCCTTACTAATAACCTTACTTGTGTTTTATTTATTTTACCTTCATTTTTGAATTCAATAAGCATATGGGTATCGGTATCGCCGATATGTTTTAAAGAGCATCGGTATCGGTATCGTATCGGCAAAAAGGCGTATCGTGGCATTCATACCGGCAACCTCCTGTTTCAATTTTCCTCTGTCGCCTTTTACGAAACCCACGGGATGACTGGGGTAGTGAATCTCCTTCATTGCTGTGCAGTGGCTTTAGTTGGTAGAACAATAATTATATTAATATTTGTAATTTCTTAGACATTTCTCTCGCAATGCATTTTGTTTTGCATGCGACAAAATATTAACAAATTCCGTGCCCTTGAGGTACCTACTAAAGATCTTCTTGAAATAATGACTTGGGGTGTTTGTTTTTTCAGGTGCTTTTCAAAATGGACCTTGATGGGACGGGGACTTTAGTAGAGACAGTAAAATTGCCGTTAGTAATGAAATGTGCCATAGAAAATTATACATTTGACAAGTTCAGACAAATGTGCATCATGTCTGGATGTGACTATTTACCATCATTGCCTGGCATAGGTCTGGCTAAAGCACGACAGTTTGTGGTTGCGACACAGGACTCTAATTTTGCCAATGTGAGTTGCTTGTTCTTTTTTTATACCTTCTTTTCTGGTATCTCTTGTCTCTTAATATTCTACTTAGAAGCAGGCTATCTTTAGCCTGGGGGTTTTATTTAACAATGAAAAGTAAAGTACCAACATACTCATGTCCCACTGCAGGGTGCAAGTTTAAGTTTTGATTTTAACAGCGTTTTGTAGCAGGAAGAAACACTTCTCATCTCTTAGTTAAAATAATATTTTCTTAGAGGAAGTTGTTGGAGGAAGTGGGTTTATATTTTGCCACCACATTTCTTTCTCTATTTTCATTGCATTCTTGGTATTGGGATATACTCTGCCATCACAAAATGGTAATTAATAATTTAAAATATTTTTAACTCGGACAACACAAAAATGTTCAGTAATCGAACTTTTTCTTCAGGCTCTAAGAAAATTGCCAAGTTTTTTTAACCGATCAAATCTCGTAGTAACAGATGAGTACAGGGAGAGCTTTCTCAAAGCAGAGGCGACATTCAAGCATCAATATGTTTATGATCCCTTGGAGAGGAAGATGGTGCGGTTAACAGAGCCAGATGATGAAGGTATGTGAACACTTCCCACTACTTTGTTCATTTGGTGTTAAAATTTGACGTTGATATGTTTAGTGATGATGTGATGAGGGAGTCAATCACAAATCAATACAAATAGTAAGCTGCACTTTTGTCCATAGTAACTTATCAAGAAATAATTAAGATATCTTTATTCTTTAAGAATATGAGTAGCTCTGTTATCAGTAAGTTTAGGGTGTCCCTCACTAATTATACAAAACAGTATTGTCAACTCTTCCACATCCCTTATTCTGTGAGTCCTTTTGCAGTAGTGCCGACCTATTTACTAGTAACAACCGGTATCTAGTTATAGTTACCATATAGAGATCCTAGAGATATGCAAGTGCCAGGTGATGGTGGTCAAGTGCTCTGACTACTAGGCCATGTTGTGGTCAAGTTGTTCAGGAGATGATCAGGTTGATCATCAAGAAGAATTCTTCTGTTTATTCATGTTTGATTCTATTTATCATGTGGCTTTGTTGTTTACAGATATTGAACGGGCATTGTGCGTCAATGCCGGTGAACTGCTGGACCCCAAAGTTGCATATCAATTAGCACTTGGGAATTTGGACCCATTTAGCTTGAAGAAAATGGACGACTGGGATCCGGATAATCGCAAAAATGGGGTTCGAATATAATGTACTAATATGTTTTGCATTTTCAATACAATATTTCGCAACTCCGCTGCTGAAATTAGGTCTCCCCCCAGAAATGCCACAACACTGTCCCGAGCTACCTGCATCCATCAACTCCACCCGTGTGGGGCCGTCTTACACTTCGCTTACACATACGATTCTTGTTTGAGCTATATGGCCGGCGCTTGGCACTTCAGTTTATTGATCCGTTGGACTATGTTGGTTAGTCTGGTCTTATTGCAGATATTTTTGTTACAAATTCTATTATACAGAGAGACTCCGAGCATAGCCCTCTCCATAGCTTTGTCATCATATGTGGCATATGTCATTACTGACAATACTTATTGGTTGTACTAAGCGCATTTACAATTTTACAATTGATACTTTTTCGGCTTGTAAAAGTCCACTGTAGGATACCCCTTTATTCTGGGGCGGTTAAGCATAATAGCTAGGCTAGCATTATACAGGTTGTCCCAAAAGTCGTCGTCAAGCCGGAATCGGGTGATAGGATAAATCATAATAGTTACCAGAAAAATATAAAAAAAATCTTAGTCATGTATTTTTTAAACTACAGTAATTTCTTTTTTTTTTTGAAAAACGTACAACCTGTGATGGTTTTTTTTATCTCTTTTAGCTACAAATCTACTTTTTTTCGATTTTTTTTTGTGTAATCTTTGGTAGTGCTTGTGTAACCTGTTGTTTTTAATTCTTAGCTAACTGGTCCAACTTTAATACTTCGCCCAACTTTAACTGACCGTACTGAAAAAAAATGTACTACGCCAGTTTAGCAAGTAACCTTAAAAGTTGACGCATTTAATAAGGATTCTAAAATGGTGTAGCACTTGCTACATTATTTCTTAGATTACAGGAGAAAACATTTTTCTTCAAGCATCCCAGTTTTGATAAAATTCTTTTTAACTACTAAAAATGATTTTAGTGTAGCCAAAGCTTGCCATGAGAGTAACTAAGATTCTAGTTTGAGTGAGAGGAAGAATCAATCCATGAAGGGTTAGTGAGACAGAAAGTGACGCATTCGAGTCATACTTTTTCCTAAATTTAGGATAAATTTTCCTTAAGTTTAAAATTAAACAACAATGCTGAGATTTTTTACAAAAGGTGTTCAAATTGCTTTCCTTCAGCTGCAATACAAGCTCGACATCTTCTTAAAAAAGACCGGGTTATCAGATGGGCAAATCTTCCTTTGTTGACAAATTCAGTTGTTTACGTAATTCTTTGCCGAAGCTCAGCTTTAAATAAACTTTCTATTTCACTGCTACCCAGTAGAAAAAATGTAACGGATTTAGATCCGGGGAACGGGCTGGCCACGAGATCGTACCAGACCGCCCTACCCATCTGCCTGGATATTCTTCATTGAGATATTGAGTCACGGAGCGGGCATAGTGATCTGGGCAGCCGTCTTGCTGATACCACATCTCTCTGTAAATAATTAGTGGCACGTCTTCAAGTAAATTAGGTAAATGGTTTTGTAAAAAATCTAAATAAATTTCAGCATTCAAGACCTCTGGCAACTCACAAGGTCCTATGACTCTTCCGTTTAAAATTCCAGTCCACATGTTTATTTTAAAACGATATTGAGATCTGTCTTGTCTCATTAAACTCTGATTCTCTACGTGCCACTCGTGTAAATTATGTAGGTTCATGTAACCATGTTTTATAAATGTTGATTTATTCGTCCACAAAAAAAATTCTAAGCATCGCGGGTCTTCGCAGTGTCTTTGTAGCGGAGTTTGACAAAACGCAACCCGACGTTGATAATCTTGAGGTAGCAGGGTTTGTATCTGTACATAGTACGGGTCTTAGATTAATAATAGGTCATCGCACGCTCTGATTAGATACCGCACTACTTGAAAATGACAGCTCCGTGAATGCGGCATCTCAATATTGTAGTGTGTATAAGACAATTGCAAGGATGCTAGTGTGCGTGAAGAATTGTATTATTTAAATGTCTGACTAATATTCACAAATTATTTAAAAAAATAGTTATATCTTATATGGTGTAACCAAAATAGTGCTTTCTATTCCTATTCTACGCGTCAATATGAACAACTTTTACTATAGATCTATCTTCGAAATCGCAAGAAAAATCAGGTCTTCCATACATTTTGAACAAGTTTGTACGAAATTCTGTATGGAATAACTGATTTTGAGATTTTTTTTTACAGGATCAGGGTGACAAACGAGCACACAGTCCATCTGATGGTAAGTGGTTGCTGTGGGTCATAGACATCTACATCTATCTTCAGTTAAGAATCAAAATGTAGATGCGTTGCAACCCCTGAGGACTAAGATGGAATGCCTCGTTTCCAGTAAAAAGGTTCTCCGGTTCTCTACACTCACCATACAAAACAAAGCAGCGTTAAGCTGCTATTTTATTATCCTATAAAAAAAAATTACACTGGTATTCTGTGAGAGCGTGGTCTTTCCCCGGTCGAGCCGACCCATTCGTGCTACAACTATACCAGTAATATAGTTGCAGTATGGCTCTACCACGCCTAGATTGAAAATTTCGAAGATGATCCCATAGTAAAGTTATCCATGTTTACGGGCAGAATCATTCCCTAAGTTATTGAGTACTATTTTGTTACACTTTTACTTAGTATATAAGGTCGGGAAAAAGTTGGTTCGTATTTTATATACAAATTCAAGACATTTTTGTTTTAAAGTTTTATTACATTTAATTATAATATATATGGGTCCATTTTGTTCGATAACTTGTTGCGATCTTGTAGGTAGTAACATAATCGCGTTGCTGTAATTATAATAAAAATGTGTGAAATCTTGGGATTTTTGATAAAAAAAATGCTACAAGTAGTGTTATTAGATATATTCAATACCAGAGATTTGAAGTAACATGGATTTAGTCATCGCATTTATAATAGAAATAAAAATAATATTCTTAATTATTTAGAACGAGAAACAATATATTATAATGATGAGAAACAATATATTATAAACTTAAATAGTAAAACCTTCAGAAAGCTTTCGTTTAAAGAACACAAGGAACAAAAGAAAATAATGATTAAAAGTTTTAAACCAGTTTTAAGTTCTCAAGCAAATACTAGATTTTTAGGAATGTTTGTGTGTATTGAAAGTCTCAAACAGATAACTAATCTTGTGGTATGGCGTTATCATGCTGAAAGACCAATCCTTTTCTGATGATCAATGCCGGCCGTATTTTTTTTTCTATTTCTTGCTTGAGTTTCATTATTTGTTGGCAGTAGAGATCATAATCGATGGTTTTACCAGGTGGTAAAAGCTCATGATAAACGATACGCTTCCAATCCCACCATACAGCATCATCTTATTGCGTGTTAATCCAGGTTTCGCTACAGTCTGTAAACAAAACACATATCAATACAGAAAAAAAATCACGTTTCTTCAATGGTCTTCATACAAGAAACGTGATTTAGGGATCCTTTAATATTTTATTTTATTTTTATTATATGTGTTATATGCAGCAATACAATTAGCCAATACACATCCTGTGAAAATTTCAAGTATCTACATATTACGGTTCATAAAATACAGCCTGCTGACAGTCAGACGGAACGATAGTGGAAACTTAGGTCCCGTTGACATTCTATGGGTACGGAACCCTAATAAACGGAAATAATGTTTTAATAATAAAAATAATTAATAAAACAACATATAAATATTAGGTCTTTTGAGCAATACTACAAAAATAAACATTAAATAATATAGAATTAGGTTATATTATAATAAGTTAAATATATTATATTATAAAATATAGTAACAATAAATTTACATATAAAAATCTAAGCCACGGGGAACTTTATTTTTGTACACGCGGCAACACTGAATATGTTGAAATTTCGAAGTTGTATGATACTTACTGATAGTATGTGATCCCAGTATCTTTCTTATTTCCTGTAGTATTATTTTTACACAGTTTCACTACGCAAGCTGGTATTTTACTTCGAATTATGATCAAAATTTAATAAAACATTCGGTACGTCCACATCACATGTCGCCTGCAACGCGACTGGCTCGGGTACGCCGATTTCGGCGTAGTATTTGTTGCCGCATTTTACAAGAACGCCGGCGGTATCTATTCTGCGCGCGAAGTCCTATCAATAATCTTAAGGTACGGGTGTAACTACTTTTTTTGTGAAATTCCGTGAGCTGTACTTTTGGGCACTCCTGTGCTTTCCTGAATTGCCTGTACCGAAGTAGGTACTTGGGTCTTCTTCAACTGCTTGTAGTACTATGTCCTCGTAAGGTAACGAACTTCTTCGTTCACCATGTACTTGATATGGAAGTCTGCCCTCAGTAAAGAGTAGACGGTGCACATTTGTAAAAACTCGATGATCTGGATAGCGATTAGCATTTTGGTATCTCTCGCGATACAGTCTACCCGCATCACTAGCATTGCCTCTGCGTTCCTCATAAATGTGTGTTTGCATATTCCTGTATGGTGTACACAGACATGTTGGCACTACACAATCACACTATAGTCCAGGAGAAAGCCAAGATTGTCGTTAAAAGATCGAAACTGTCCAAATCCAAATCACAAGCAAACAAGTCCAATAAGCAAAGCAAAAAGTCGGTAAGTACGAAATAACACGAACAAATACAGAAAGATGCGTAGTAAACGAAGGAGAGTAACGTACTGATCTACATTGCGTGTGCCAACACTCAAAAATTGGCGTCACTATCTGTCTCGCTCGCACCTCATAAAATGACTTTCTTGGTATTTAACACATTAGCGTCAGTATCTGTCTCACTCACCCATTAGCATCTGAATCGAAAGCGTCACTATCTGTCTCACTCACCCATTAGCATCCGAATCGAAAGCGTCACTATTTGTCTCACTCACACTTCATTGGAATAATTCCTCTCGCTAAAATTGGAATCTTAGTTACGCTCAAGGCAAGCTTTGGTTTCACTAAAATCATTTTTAGTAGATAAAAAGATTTTTTTTTCAAGTGGGATTCTTGAAGAAATTTTTTTTCCCCTGTAATCTAAGAAATAATGTAGCAAGTGCTACACCATTTTAGAATCCTTATTAAATGCGTCAACTTTTAAGGTTACTTGCTAAACTGGCGTAGTACATTTTTTTTTCCAGTACAGTCAGTTAAGGTTGGGCGAAGTATTAATTTTTAATTCTTGGTTCGGATAAATGTGACATTTCACAAGTTGGAGCAGTTAGCTAAGAATTAAAAATAACAGGTTACACAAGCACTACCTAACCAAGATTACACAAAAAAAATCGAAAAAAAGTAAAGATTTGTAGCTAAAGAAGCTAAAAAACCATTACAGGTGTACATTTAAAAAGAAAAAAAAAATACTGTAATTTAAAAAATACATGACTAAGATTTTTTTTATATTTTTCTGGTAACTATTATGATTTGTCTTATCACCCGATTCCGGCTTGACGTCGATTTTCGGAACATTCTGTATAATGGTTATACCCCTGTCTATTGAAAGCCATGCGATCATGCGAACTCACCCCCTCCCACCCCTGTACGCAAGTAAAGGATATCTATAGTTTTACCTTCCAGAAATATACCGAATACCGTAAAAGAAAATAAGACAAAAAAAAAAACAATTCAGGTCAGGTATACCTCAAAATTTGAAAACAAGATTATACAACCAGTTCTTGTTGCCAGTGATGACTTATAGAATTGAGACGTGGTCCTCCACTGCTGGCCGTATGAGGAAGCTCAAGATCGCTTAGCGAGCTATGTAGCTACTTTAAGGGATACACTTAGAAATTAGGATATCCACAGTATAACCTGAGTAACTGACATAGTCCAATGGATTAGTAAGCTGAAGTGGCAATGGGCCTTCCATATACCTAGAAGAACCGATGACCGACTGGGAAGAAAGGTTCTTGAATGGTAACTTCGTACCTGTAGGTGAAGTGTGGGATGATCCCCCACTAGATGAAGTGACGTCCTGGTTAGACATGCAGGAAGTCGATGGGTGCAGGTGGCTCAAGACCGTCCTTTGTTTCATTCCTTGGTGGAGGCCTATGTTCAGCAGTGCACTTGTGAAGGGCTGTAATGATGATGATGGTGATGATGACGTTGATGATTTTTACGATTATGATTCTCATATGGCACGGTTACTTCATTCTTTAATTTGAAGATATGTCTAATTAACAATACTGTTTTAGATAAGTAATATTAAAACAGAAAGCTGGAATGAGAAAGGAGCTTCTAATCATCCCAGTGTATGGAACGTAGAGTTTAAACAATACCTGGATGAAACAACCCCTTGGTTGAAGAAGAAGAAAAAATCCGAGCCCATTATAGCAGTTCCTCAGACAAGAGTGAGAAAGAAAGTTGTGAATTTAGTTAGTAAACATGTGCCAGAGACTCAAGATGACAGGTATATATATTCCATTTGTTGTGTCTTCACAAATGTTTTTGTTTGTATTTTATTTAATAATCCTTTTTTGATTAATAGTTTTTTACATGGTAGAGCCACTCTGCAGCTATTTTATGGTTGTAGCACAAATGCGTCGGCTCGGCCGGGGAAGGACCACGCTCTCACAGAATACCAGCGTAGCAGCTTTTTGCTGCTGTGTTTCGTATGGTGAGTGTAGAGAACCGGAGACCTTTTTTACTGGAAACAAGGCATTCCATCATAGACCTCAATAGTGACAACACATCTGCATTTCGAATCTTAATCAAAGATAAATGTAAATGCCTATGGACCATAGCATCCACTTACCATCAAGTGGACTGCATGCTCGTTTGTTTCTCCTATTCTATAAAAAAACATACTAACATTAAAAAGTTTAAATATTGTAAAAATATACTTTCGCTTACTAAGTATTGTTATGTTAATATAATTTGGTGATAGATGAAAGATTGTCAGCAGCATTTTCCTGATAAAGATTCAAAATAATAAAAATATAGAGTTGCCAACCCGCCTGCTAAGCATGGCAACTATGGCAAATATATTAATTTATGAGGCAATGTGTGGGGGAGGTACATGTTCAAAAGTGAACTTTGATAATCTGTAATTTACATTAACAATGTTGATGATGATAAATATAATATCAAATTTATTATTTGTCTGATGACAGCCTCTAAGTCTTATTTGTGGCGGCGACTGAATAACATTCCTGCTGCAACATTACAGAAGCATAATGCACAGTCGTTGGCCTTTTCGTTGCAGCTATCCAATAAATTATTTTGACATTCATTAACACGTATATTTTATGTCTGTATATTGTATAATAGTAGAGGCGAATTAAGTTACTTAACGGTGGTAGAGCCACGCAGCGGCTTTTGCTGTTGAACGTATGGGCCGGCTCGAGCCGGGTTAGTACCACGACCTCACAGAATACCGGCGTGAAGTGGAAGCTCTGCTTCCGCGTTTCGTTTGGTGAGTGCAGGTGACCGGAGACCCAATTCCCCCCCCCCCCCGCCCCCCATCAACATGGTAGCGGAATTACATGATAGACTACCCCAGTAGGGTACCAGCACCCCTGGAGAATCCCTCGCCGAGCATCCACGACCATGCTATTCCACTCCTGAGCGTGGGTGCTCAGGCTGCCCCGCGTATTCTGGGTGGGGCAAAATTCCGCTCAATACAATAACTGCTCGGGGCAAACTGAGCAGCATGACCAAGGCGACCCCTGCCACGCTATCCGTGAATTTCTGCAACATCAGGGGACTTCACTCGAACCTAAACCCCGTCCATTACCATCTCGAGACGGCGAAGTCGGCCTTGCTCTTTCTGACCGAGACGCAGGTGTTCTCTCCGGCTGATACTTCGTATCTCTCCTACCCGGGGTACAAATTGGAGCACTCCTTTGTGCCTCGGGCTGGAGTTTGCGTATACGTCAGAGAGGACATCTGTTCTCGACGCCTCGGCAGTCTTGAAGGTTCGGACCTGTCCATCCTTTGGCTACGCGTAGACAGCAGCGACCATCCGCGCGTCTACGGGTGCCTCTATAGGTCCCATAGCGGTAATGCTGAATCAGACCGACTCATAGACCACGTCCAAATGGCTACAGATTCCTTGCTACAACAGGTCCCATCCGCAGAGATCGTGATCCTTGGCGATTTTAACGCCCACCACGCCGAATGGCTTGGTTCACGTTTAACCGATCATGCGGGGCAATCTGCTCATGACTTTGCCTTAGCATATGGTTTGACACAACTGGTTACATCGCCTACGCGGATTCCAGATGTTGAGGATCATACACCTTCCCTGTTGGACCTTCTGCTGACCTCTCATCCGGACGGATATCAGGTTTCCGTCGATGCCCCTCTCGGCTCTTCGGACCATTGTCTGATCCGGAGTGTGGTGCCACTCACGCTCCCCTCGCGGTTGCGTTCTGCAGGTTGCCGCCGTTTGGCATTACAGGTCGGCGGATTGGGACGGAATGCGGTCTTTCTTTGCTTCTTACCCATGGGGGCGGGTTTGCTTCCCGCCGGATGATCCCAGCGCTGTTGCTGACTCTGTCACTGATGTGGTGCTACAGGGAATGGAACTATTTATTCCATCATCTGTGGTACCCATCGGAGGCAGATCTCAGCCTTGGTTTGGTCGCTCCTGTAAGACTGCATTACGCAGTAAGCAGGAGTGTTATCAAGCCTGGGCTGCGGCTTCGGCGACTCGGGATGTAAACACCAGCATACTTAAAAAGAAGTATAACTTCGCCTCCAGGTCCTTCAAAAGAGTTATTGCCAGGGCAAAGTCAGAGCACATAGGCAGAATTGACGAGAAACTAGTTCGCCTTCGGGAACTCGTGCATTCTGGTCTCTCGCCAAGGCTGTCCAAGGGAATTTATGTAAGCCATCACTACCGTCTCTGCACAGGGAGGATGACTCACTGGCCCACGACGCAAAAGAGAAAGCCGACCTTTTAGGCTCCCTTTTTGCGTCCAACTCGACTGTTGATGACGGAGGGAACACACCGCCGACCATCCCGCGGTGTGAGTGCTCCATGCCGGATGTGCGATGCTCACAGCGCTCGGTTCGCAGAGCACTCCTCTCCCTGGACATCTACAAGTCGAGTTGGTCTGACGGAATCCCCCCAATTGTGCTGAGGACGTGTGCTCCGGAGTTGGCACCGGTTCTAACGCGTCTTTTCCGGTACTCCTACTCCCTAGGCGTAGTCCCGAAATCATGGAAGACAGCTTTTGTATACCCGATCCCTAAAAAAGGCGACCGCTCAGACCCGTCCAACTACAGGCCTATCGCCGTCACCCCCTCCGTTCTCCAAAATAATGGAATCCGTTATAAACTGCCACCTCATGCGGTACCTTGAGGATCACCAGCTGATTAGTGACCGCCAATACGGTTTTCGTCGGTATACGGTAATCTGCTCTACTTAACTCATAGATGGGCGGAGGCAGTAGAGTCCAAGGAGGAGGCATTGGCCGTTAGTTTGGACATTGCGAAGGCCTTCGATCGGGTTTGGCACAAAGCGCTTCTTTCGAAGCTCCCTTCCTATGGGCTTCCCGAGAAATTATGCAATTGGATCACCAACTTTCTTGCAGATTGGAGCATCAAGGTCGTTGTAGACGGTGCATGCTCCGACTACAAGCCTATTAACGCTGGTGTTCCACAAGGCTGTGTGCTATCACGAACGCTGTTTCTTCTGCATATCAATGATATGTTGCAAACCGGTAGCATTCATTGTTATGCGGATGACAGCACTGGTGATGCTCTATACATCGGCCGTGCCAATATTTCTCGGGAAAACGTCGCCGAGTACCGGAACAAACTTGTGTCTGAAGTCGAGTCTTTGCTGGACAAAGTCTCGGATTGGGGGCGACTAAATCTAGTTCAGTTTAATCCTCAGAAGAGACAAGTTTGCGCGTTTACCGCTAAAAAGAACCCCTTTGTCGTATCTCCTCAGGTTCAAGGTACTCCCCTTGTTGCCTCAGCCAGTATCGCAATCCTCGGCGTAGACATATCGAGTGACGTGCAGTTTCGTGGTCACTTGGAAGAGAAGGCCAAATTGGCCTCTAAAAAGCTTGGCGTGCTCAGCAGAGCGGGACAGTATTTCATGCCGGCACAACGCCTACAACTTTACAAGGCGCAGGTTCGGCCTCACATGGAATACTGTTCCCATCTCTGGGCAGGGGCTCCCCAGTGCCAGCTCCTTCCACTTGACCGCATCCAGCGCAGAGCGTCTCGAATCGTCGACGACCTAATCCTTTCGGATCGGCTCGACTCATTGGCGCTGCGAAGAGATGTTGCATCTCTTTGCATTTTCTTTCGCATTTACCACGGGGTGTGCTCTGAGGAATTGTTCGGATTAATCCCAGCCGCCAAATTTCACGGACGCACATCGCGGCAGAACTCCCGATACCATCCACACCATCTGGATGATTGGCGGTTCACCATTGTGCGATTTAGAAGATGTTTTCTTCCTCGACAACTTCCTTGTGGAATCGATTACCATCAGCGATTTTTCCGGACCAATACGACTTAGGGACCTTCAAGAAAAGAGCCTACTCCTTTTTAAAAGGCTGGCAACGCATCTGCGATTCCCCTGGTGTTGCAGTTGTTCATGGGCGGCGGTAGTCACTTACCATCAGGTGAGCCGCATGCTCGTTTGCCCCCTCTCCTATAAAAAAAAAACTTTTTTTTATAAAGTTTTTATCTAAAACATTAAAGAGTTGACATTGTTTTCAAACATTTTTTCTTTTTTTTCAGTTTAACAATAGAATCATTAAGCAATATGTACTGTGTAGGACCAGTGGCTAAAAAACAAAGAGTAAATGATATTGTACCTGATAGTGAAACATATACACAAAGTCAAAATGTACATAATATAGCTTTAACTGAAGACGAAATTTCAAATGAATTGTCAGTTGAAAAAGAAAAATCACCAATACTAGAAAATAAAGAAAGGTCGTTTAGAAAATGCCTTAAGAGTGGCAGCTTTTCTGTGTTAAAAAAGCTTAGTAAATTTCCTAGGACAATTTTGGGTGACAATGTCATCGAAAGCAAGTTTTTTAGTTCAGCATCCAGTAGTGATATTTCAGCAAATTCTCCAATAAAATCAGACACTTCAAAACATAATGTAACTATAGAAGAATCTCCAGATAAAAGAAGTGTTAACCCCTTTAAGTTGTCAACATTGGACACCTTAAATAATGCACTTGAAATAGACACACAGTGCTCGGAAATTCCAGATTCGCAGTTAGATAACTCTCAGAAAGAAAACTCTCCTTTTAATAGTCCAATGAAATGTAGGAAAAGTCCAATTTTAGAGCCGAGTCCAAGAAATAGGAATCCATTCAAAGTGAGGGCTGATTCCCAGTTAACGAATTATCCATCAAGTCAAGATTCTGTGATAGATAACACATATCCTATGGAGACTTTGGTGACACCAGTCGATTCACAGGTAACTATTTTAGTGTAGTGTAAAGTCACAAACAAGATAACAGATCGTGATGGTAAGAGGCCCTTTTCACTGGAAACGAAGCTTTCCATCCGAGTCCTCAAGCGTCACCCGATGACACATGCATTTTGATTCATAACTGTTTACAGATGTAGATGTGTATGGGCCACAGCATCCATTTACCATCAGGAGGCCTTTGTGCTTGTTTGTCACCCTTATTCAATAAAGCAGCTATTATAGTATGTTTCTAGGGCTGGCGGAAAAACGTACCTTTGACGATATCGTTTATTTTTTTACGTCTTATTTTTTTATCCTTGTACGAGTATCATTACATACCTCATCAAAGTGAAAGATAAGAGTGCCAAGTGTGAAGTTCTTCGCAGGCCCTGTGTCTATTATTATATTATGAAGAAAGAAGATTATTCTGTACTTATATTAATTAAAAAGCAAATTAACATTAATTTTAATTTATTATTTATAAATCATAAGATTTATTACAATTTTCATTATTACGTTAATAGTAGGTAAGTAGTTTAATAAGTAGGTAGATAGGTTACCTATCTATCTACCGACTTATTAAACTACAGTTGTACAAAACATAACCACTTCTTGATAGTCGGGTAAAAAGGCGAACTTTTAATGCTAAGCATTCTTTAGGAGTCAACCTCGAAGTATGCATAAAACTTCTCATAATAGATTGTCAGAGAAACTTGATGACTTGACAGACTATTATTCTGTATCTATTTCGGAATCATTTTTTGATGATGACGACGTGGAAGAGTCCGCCACAATGATTATAAAACTATATAGGATTACGTCACTAGAACGTTTCTTTTACATATTTATAGACGTTTACAGTCATTCTTTTTTCCGTTTCCGAAATATGCGACACTTTCGTGGTGACGTAAAATCTCTATAAGATTTTTAGAAGATAATATACTAAACGTCATAAAACAATAATAAAAACTTTAATACAAAACGTGACAATACAACAAACAAAACAAACTTAATAAAAATGAAAACAACAACTATAACCGAAAATTTTAAATCTCAAACTATGATGAGTCCTGCTCCGCCCGCTCTCGCAAATACGCACGACGTGAGACCGCGAATCGTGTCTAAACAGGTTTGTTATCTCTGAATGACCGCTTCCTTCACCCTACCCCGTACCATGAGACACGCTTAGCGCATAACGATACGTAATCGATAATGTAATGTATGGAAGCAATTCCTGTCGTCTTGTTTCGATGCTAACATAATACTTTATGGTGCGTTTCCACGCTTGCCAAGTCTCGGCAAACGTCTTCAAGCCCCAAGCGTCTACAAATCTCGTTTGGCGTTTGGAAGTTGTTTACATGCTTGTGAATGCGTCAGTGTGCTACGTATATCCAAGCATGGCGGACACCGAACTTGTGTCGGCTATTGCGTTTGATTTAACATACTTTTATTTGAAATACAAAAACTGAATTTTTTGGCTTTTAATTCTTTTACTGGCTTTCCCGTTAACTCGGCAAGACGACTCCAAGCATTTGCAACTTTCTAGAACAAAGAACTAAACATGCGTTTGTCGCGAAATCACAATGGTTACTAAACGCGCACCAACGTGTGAATGCGTTGTAAGCGCTTGCCGCAAGCGCCCCTTGATCTGTGTCCAAAAACCGACACTAGCCCGGATCGGGGTGAACAAGCGTTCACAAGCTCACGCAAGCCAAGCCAAACGCCCTCTTTACACACTTGTGCTTGTGGATGCTTGCCGAGACTTGGCAAGCGTGGAAACCCGGCATTAGGTCAATGTACGTTTTTCCGCTCGCCGTAGAAACATACTATACATCATCATGAACTGCAAACAATACTGGCTACATATTCATTGTCACAGTCACAGTTTTAAGATGGAACTTTTATAAAAAATGTAAACGTGCTTGGTGCTTCAATTCTTCGATACAATCTGTCTTATTACAAAAAGTCGTTTATAATTAGTCTCATGTTGCAACTAGAGCCTGTTTCAATAACGAGGTAATTTATGGAATTTGGAAGTAAATGTCAAATTCGCGAAGACTGGCGCCGTGGCTAAGACACTTCTTTCGTGACAGACTATACGCAAGACTAACAACGACTACATCTCTACAAAGTATAAAACAAAGTCGCTTCCCGCCTTAGCTCTTTCATACTACGCAACGGATTTTGATGCGGTTTTCATAAATAGACAGAATGATTCAAGAGGAAGGTTTATATTATGTATAATACATACATATTATATAATTCTTCTGTCCGTGTGTATGTGACTGAACTCCTAAACGACTGGGCTGATTTTGATGAAATTTTGTGAGTGAGTGATTAAGTTGATTAGAGTATGGTTCACAATTGGACCCAATAGGTGGCGTTGTTGTCGAGATTCAGAAATGAACCGTGCCAATCCGGGGTGGATAGCTAGTTTTGTAATGAGACCGTCAATGTCTTAGCCCTGACTTCAGAAGCTATTAAATTATGTGGAAATTATTTTATTATTTATAATTCTTACAAGTATTTTTTTTTTCAACTTTATTGTTTTGTCCGTTCCATTTCGTTTCACTTATCTAAAGAATTTAGGTATATAACATGGTAGTACCACGCTGCAGTTGTATTATAACTGCAGCATGAATGGGTAGGCTCGACTGGATGTGGACCACCAAGTTGTGCAGAAAACCAGCGTGAAATAGCAGTAGACATGTATTATTCATTCATTTCTAGTGACCCGATGATTCAAGTATTGATTCGTCTTACTAACCGGGTCATTCGAGTCCATGCAACCGATCATTTCCAGTTTCAGTACTCTATGATCTGTGAGACCCGCTCGACAATGTCGGTCGTCGGACATTACTGTACTCTTTGGTCGTAAGTCCTGTCAATTGTTTGATCCGGAACGTTCATAAAATGTAATTGCAACCATCATCAATACTTTGATGCGACTGGGTCAAATAAACGAATCATTTCCGATTGACATATGTCTAAATAGCAGTATAATGGTGCTTTGTTTTGTATTGTGAGCGACGTGAATCGCAGACACCTAGAGGCTACTATTTTTACTGATAACTAGGCATTCTATTTTAGTTCTCAGGTCACCCCTACATTTACATTCATAATGTTTAAGGTGTTTACTAAACATAAGGTGTACTGTAGGCGTAAGGCGTATAGAATGTATTTCCAAAATTGTAATTCATTTTCAGGTTTCTTTCGGCGATTCTCCCCCGAAGCCTTTATCTTCATCACAATCACTTTTAGATAAATATAGGTTAAATAGTAATGAAAATAAAAATTATTTTAAGAAAGGCACGTGTAAAGTGCCAGGATTAAAAAGGACCGCATCGTTACCGAGCAACCAGCCGACGTTGTTGAGTAAATTTGGATTTCAGAAGAAGTGAGTATGGTTATATTATGATATAATTGACAATCGGCCTCACATAAACAAACTAACATACCGCGAACGAAGGCACCTCCCGAGTGTTTTCATGGGCTTTATTTGAGAACGAATATGAGGACGGGCTATTCGGTACAGATGGGTTGCTATGGGACGGACGACACTGGTGGCGTAGCGAATCGGTGCGTAACGTTCTCATGGTCCTGCAAATATGCGGCGAAAGTGGAACACCATAGTCTATGTGAGTCTGACATAACCCCAGCAGTTGTAAAGAGTATTTTTGAGAGTCGTCTTAATCATCAACTTTATTGAGTATTTTCATAGTAATTTAAAAAAATGGTTTGATGAGCCCAGAGCCGATACATTCGCACTGGTAATGCCCATCACTAGTCAAAAGTCAGTGAAAATTGGGTTTGTGATTTGTGTCGTCAGACGGACGCCATTAACGGAGAACCGTTAATCATCGCTAGGAGTAGAGGAGATTTTTCGGGATCCCTTCTTTTAGCATAATGTCTTTTTTTCCTAATATACTTTTGCATAACTATTTTGGCATATTATAATAATACTTTGCCATAATTATTTTTGGCATATAGCTTATGTTGATATAATTATCTTGTAAGTATTGAGGGCTAATATTGTTTAGAGCATAATAGTGTTTATGCATAAACATTAATAGGCATAAGAATTTAGGGCAACCTGACTTTATAGAGAAGAATCTGTACTAAAACCGAATCAGAACGCACCGATTCCACGTAGTCTTGTCTGCCCTACCTCTAGAATGTTTTTGTAAAGCCGTAGGCGCGGAGGGAGAGACTCCTCTGGGTCTCTACCTACACTCCCTTGATGCTTACCTCGGCAGCTTTGGCTTATCGGTCGCCTTCAGCGACCAGCCTCAGCCGCTACGGCTCGCACAGGTGCCTGCTATTTGCAACGCAAGGGCTACACTTACCGCAGCGCCAAAGCTGTTTTTGAAGTAACTTTGGGTCAATATTCCTTTGTACAAAAGTTTTTTTCCATTTGTAACTACAATTCACTTTATTTAAAAGATTAAATTACAACTTTGCAATAATACATTTATTGACACAATAGTTTTATGATACTGTCTACTGTGTACATATAATTTGTTCTATAAAATAATATTAACAATTAAAAATATTGGTAATATTGCTAGAACAAAAATAATATAATATATTATTTTTGTTCTAGCTAAGTTGTATAAAAATTTGTTTTGGTGTCTAATATTTTAGGAGTTAATTTTTAAAAGTATTTGTTATGCCTAGTAAAATTATAGGCGTAAATATAATCAGGATAAACAATTGTATGCTATGTTATATTATGCCTTATAATTTTATGCAAATGGATAGATATCCAGATATTTCTCTGACACATTCTCCTCTTAAGAAGCATTGAAAGAATATCGAAGTGTCCACTGCTGGACATGGGTTTATCCCATGGTATGGAAAATTTTCTGACATTGCTCAGCTTGTCAGGAGAATTGGCGACACATTATCAGAGTCTCGCATCTTTCACGTTGCTTCACGGTCTAAGTACTTTAAATCGGTACAAATATGAGATGATTATAACGCCAATTATCAAACTACGCAAGGTTTTTCATGTATTTCCCATAATCGCCTCTTACGACACTCACGGGAAAGGATTGAGATATGGTTTTTCTTGCCCACCATACATTAAGTATGTATAATATTTTTTTAAACCCGAAGGTATAGTTGGCAAACATTTTTTTTTCAACGCGGTTTAAGCCATGCTGCAGCTATATATTATAGTTGTAGCGTAAATGGGTCAGCTTGACCGCGAAAGGACCACACTCTCATAGAATACCAGCGTAAAATAGCACCTTAATGCTGTTGTGTTTGGTATGGTGAGTGTAGAGAACCAGAGACCCCGTTATACTGGAACCGAGGCATTCCATTTTAGTTCTCAGGTGTGACAATGCATCTGCATTTTGATTTTTAATCGAGGATTGATGTAGGCGTCCATGGGCTACAGTATCCAGTCACCATCAGGTAGATTGTGTGTTCGTTTGTCGTCACCCTTATTCTATAAAAAAAAATACAGCTCATCAAAAATAATAGTCTAAATAAAATGTCTCATCGCTTGGCGGCGGAGACTTGCTCTGGTTTCTGAGAAGGTTATACAGTAATAGATTAGGGAACAGTTCGCTGCACTGCACACAAAAATATAATATGCAAAAGTACTATGTAGTAGGACTCTGTTTTCTGCATAGGGGTCCGTCTGGGAATCACCCTCTTACCGATTTCTGCAGGGCTAGCATGGGCAGTAGACAATTTTATACCTGGGGAAAGAAGAAAATGTTTTTCCTCTCGCTTAGTTTTATCCACCCTTCGAGCATGGGCACATCGGTGGATATAATATCCAAGGTAGATAAAATGGGATGTAGACTTATACTTAGATAGATTTTTTTATGAATATAAACTTAAACCCACGTCCAATGAACTACAATAAAATTGGCCCTTCAAATGTCAAAAAAGCTTAATTTTTTATCTTTGGCACCATGCTAAGGACGGGGGATATATTATGTCCTACTCGTTATGCCAAACGGGGATATACTTCACCCCTTTGCTCCCCGTGCTTTGGCATAAGGACAAGATAATTTTATCTCTTGTCAGTGGATATAATCGGGGGATAAATTTTTTGTCCCCAGTCCATGCTAGCCGTGCTGCCACCAAATAGCAGTGTATGCACTATTGTCTTTCAGTCTGAATGGTATCTCTATGGCTCTCTGCCAGTATAATTAGAGTCTGTAAGGCATTCCATCCTAGTCCTTGTGCCAAGACCTAGTTCTTTGTTTGAAGTTGGCTGCAGTTGTCCATGGACTGCAGTAGCCACTTACCATTAGATCCATCTGATGGTAAGTGGCTACTGCAGTCCATGGACACAGTCCACTGCAAGGTCATTTGTCGCTTCGCTAAAAATAAATATTTTCTCAGACACGCAGGTTTCCGACGTTCACGTATCACGTGCTAAATCAGCATTTAAAAATGCAATTAACAATTTCATTGTGCCGGCGGGGTCGAGTTCAGATTGAGCTATGCAATTCATTGGAACAAATTATTCTGCTTTGATTTTACTGCAGCCAAAAACAATGTGAAGAGCCAAGTGCCAAGTTGGCCTTCTGCAATCGTTAACGCTAAAAGAAAACTATAAAACGAATGGGAATGACATGTCTCAAAGATAAGTTATGTGATCTATCGTAGATTAAATTCATTTTTACTACGTTTTATTATTTCACTTGTCTGTCTGTCGTTCCGGGTGGAATTTAGTAATTGATTTTAAACTAATTATCCGATGAGCTGGAAACTTGAAATATTGAACGTAGCTCAAATTCAATTAACAATGCGAGAATATGAAAATTTTATAAAAAAATCACTTATAGATTTCTATTAGTGTTAATAATTGTAGAATGGCAACTTGGTTGAGATTGATGTGTCAAAAAGGTGGAATATCAATTCAACTGTATTTTCTCTTTTTAATTACCGAGGTTTTTTTTTCTAGACCTGTTTTGAAGAAATAAGGATGTACCAGTTGAACATTGTAAAGAAGATTGATTATATTTGTTATTTGAAGATTAGAATAGTTTGAAGATTATTTAGTTACATTTGTTTTTTGTGTTATTGATAATGTGAATTACATATTCAATAAAAATCTATGTAAATAATGTAAAAAGTAGACTAAGTAATCAATTATGTCTGAACCAATGTGAAAGCTTTGATCATGGACTTTTATAAATATGTTTTATGTGTAGTGAGGTCAATTTTATGTGAAGTGATAACAATTATAATCTTTAGCTATATTGCTTAATGATCAATACTGAGTGGATCCAGGATTTGCATCCCAGCAAAATACATAATTTCAAACAACAGGTAGGCCCTTATGTCTAGATGTTTTCTGCAACCTTACTTTTTGTCAGTAAAGCTGATTCCCGTTTTGGTAATTTTGAAATATCAATTAATACTGGGAATTGGAACAACTTGATAACACTGACAAGTGGAAACTATGGATTCATTTTGTTAAAAATTTTGTGATATAATTTTAAATAACATTTAATTTGACCAATAAGGGAATTTTGTTGCATTTAAATAGTTAAAGTATGATAAGTGGTTATGTTAACTTTCATTTTTTTATTTATTGATATTAAATATTTTCAGTTACTGTAAATTGTGATTGAATTGTATTTTGTTAAAATGTAATAGTATAGTTATATATACTAAACATTGAGTTTGGACGAAAAAGTTGCTTATTAAAAATAAAACATAATTGTTTTCGTTGTTTTATTTTGCATTTCTTTTGTTTCTTTATCAGCTTACAACAGTCAACTGCTGGATATGGACCTCTCCCGTTTTATGTACGGATTTGCCTCAATCAAAATCAAGCGGATTGACGATCACAGTACCTACCAGATGTCTCGATAAGACACTGCTCGCCATCGCCGGCCTGAGAATTGAACGAGAAAAAAATCTGTCGTGTAAGAGAAGAAGCACCGCCATCTGAGACCATGAAGTCTGGCTTGTTCATCATTCTCCATCAGCCCGTAAAGGTTCATGGCTGAAAATCGTTATTTTATGCAGAACAAAGGGTAACAAACTGACAAAATAGCACACCTGCATCCATCCTCCATTTATATTATAAGGCATTGCGCAATTGATTGTAGGAGATAAGCAGTAAATTTTGATACAGATCAGCTATTCGGTTTAGATAAACCAATTTATTGTATCAAGGGAATAAGTTTATATTGGAACTGCAAAATTATTAATGTCCTTAGTGAGTTTAGGTGAGAAATAACTCCTCCCTGAACGGCTTCCCGCCTTGTCGTTGCGGGTGTGGGGGGCTTGTAGCCGTGGCTTGGTAACCCATGGTAAAAGTAGGGCGTCTCACACGGCTGGGCCGAAGTGAAGGGCTGGCCCAAGGTGGCTACTCTGGGTGGGCTTGTCGAGTCCTTGGATGTGTGTTAGTGAGCTGCGGCTAGAGGAGAGTCCTCTCTCTATATCGCTGCAGCCGAGGAAGTGTCGTAAGGGAAGAGGATTGTTCGTATGGTAATGCGCCACTCGACTATCCTCCGCGACTTTGGCGGGATTGTGTACCAATTGGTGCTTCCGAGTACTCGTTTTTTCTTGGGTCCATGGCCTCCACATATCGGGAGAGGGAAGTCCTCAACTAAGGAGGGGTCCTCGCTGGTGAGGCCGCGTATGTGGTTGAAAGCGTTTCCGTGGCCCTGTCAATGTGAGGTGAAGGTGGAACATCATGGGGTTTTAGTAGGTGCAAGTCCGACATAATTCGTTCTTGCCCCCGTAATGCAGGTATGCGTAGGCATCGCCATCTCATTTGAAACCCGGAACAAAATCCGTTCTGTAGTTACGAATAAAAACGTTTATAGATCAACGCAGCGTCGATTCTTGTTTTATATAAGTTATAAAGCTTGCGTCTAAGGACTAGGTATTAATTAATACATTTATTTATTGTATGGCGTATTAATATGATACATAAATAGAATGGACGTTACGGGTAGGCCTGGGTATAGAATTCTTATGTATTTTTTCACACTATCTTATCTCTATTATTATCTATTAAGTTAATATGTACTGTTTTACAAGACGTCAAACACAACACTGCTCATCTCATCAAAAAACCGTTCGATCTTTCCCCCACTCACCCTATGCCTATAACCTTCGCGCAAGTGCAAGCAATAAGTTAACAAAGTTTTAACACAATCTGATGAACGGTATGGCAGTGCATAAAATACGAACAAACAAAAATTTATTTTTATATAGATTAGATAATTTAAACATCTTATCAAACAACAAATTAAAATTGTGTACCTACCTCACAAATATAAGAAAATAATTACCTTTAGATAACACCCGTTATATTTTATGTTATATTAGATTTAGATTATTATAATAATAGACTGAAATTAAAAAGATGATGGCAGCATCGTCTTCCTGATAACAACTCAATAATTATAATTAAGAGCTCTAACTCTCCTTTCTGATAAGTTACAGCCATTGAGTTACATGTACTACGTAGGTACGTGTGTAGTACATATATATCGATGGTTACAGCCTATATACCTAGGTACATGCTGCAATTGGGCACGATTGGCGGACACATATCTTCAAAATATTGTATCTATTTTTGCATGCAGATCGAGAGATCCGTTGGATTACCACCAGTGACAACTGGTGGTAAACCAACGGGGATCAAACCCGGGTTGCTCGCGAACTGTTCTTTCGGACTCATCCCATATTATGGGTTAGTCTGCTTAGGTCAGGTTTCACGCTAGTTCCCCCTTGAACCGGTTTTCTATTTGTGGCGGGAAGGGACCACCAAAGATTGGCTGCCGCTTGTGATGCCGCGAATATTATGTGCGAAAGCGTTCCCGATATAACCCATTCTTCTCTCCGCGAGGCGAGTATGCATTTCTCACGAAAAAACATGCTTCGCGCCAGGTACGGTCGCAGCCTGAAATTTTGGAGGGGGTCACTAATAATAAAATATGTGAAGTAAATTAGACTTTATTCCACAATACACAATTTAATTGCACACATCATAAAACAAATGGAAGTCTTCTATTTTTATTGGTAAAACGGGTGATAATATTTGAGACGTCTGATGGGACTATCTCTGGATGAATATTAAGAAGAGTTAAACTTGTCAGCCTCTCTTCTAACATGTTTGCTGTCAACCAAGTTTTTACACGCCTTAGCGTAGAAATCGATCTCACTGATATCGCACCGCTCATAGGAAAAGTTGCCAGTGTTACGGCCCACAGCTGCCCCTGCAAAGATTGCCTTGGCTAGGGCCCATAGTAGCCTCCTCGACGGGCAGCCGAGGGTTCGGGCCCAAGTGGCCTTATGGAAAAATGACCTATCATACTACACAATAGGGAGAAGGCTAGGAAAATAAATAGTACGTACCTGGATCCGAATCTAAGACCGCCCCAAGGCTCGGTCAGGCCGTAGGTAGAGTAGATGCATGTAAAGTGGTGTTTAGTGGTGTGTATATGTGGGTGACCTGGCCCAGCTGAGGTGACTTGGCAGCGGCCGGTTTCCATGCTGCCCCATAATGCTGCATCACTCAGCAGGCGTCCCCAATGGACAATTTCTTTCTTCATTTCACTATTTCAGTCTATCAACTTTATTGAACATGTAACTAACTTCAACTCGACTACTTCAACGTTCATCGTAGAATCGAACACGTGATACCCGACACAAGTAACGAACAGTAGTTCAAAGTTCAACATTCAATGTTCCGGATTCATTTATCACCAAATTACAAATAGGGAACTAACGCGATCTCTTCATGAGTCACACGGTTCAGCGTTACAAACACAACTAAGCTCCTTCGTTCGATATTAAATACTACGCCGCAATAAGAATTCAAAATCAACCTAGCTGACACGTAAACTAGCTATAGAGTCAACACACAAAAGGCTCTTAACGCGACGGTATAATTAAACAGTGATTTCCAAAACAATCAACCGGGAGACGCCCTCGAAAAGGAATGCGCGGTTCAAATTCCAGACTGTATCTCTACTCGGCGCGCGCGCAAAATTCCACGTCACACGAGCAAGTTAAATATTGCAAAATTCACTTCAACACGCAATCACTTTCAAACGAAATTACTTTAATCAGTCAAATACAATACAAGCCTCTTGTCACGAGCTTAAAACCTAGACAAACTAAACCGAGGCGGTTTTCTCGAAACCACAATTACGTAGCGAAGTAACACGCACAAATTCTAAAAATCTAGACCATAATCCAAAAACCGGTCGCGCGAAACATCTGCAGCGGTGACCGAGATACGCTAATTGACTGCACCGCTGCCCTCGAGCTGGGAAGCTGCCTTCCGCTGCCCCCTCCCCGCGACACGCATGACACCTGGTATCATCGGGCAATTCGCTAAGTCGAACGTGATTGGTTTCCGTCTCGAATGACCATTTTTGGCCTAAACAGCCAGAATTTTCAACAGTCTTTATATTTGGGTAGAGATCATCGTCACAAACTTCGATTGTAGAAACCACACGGAAATTTTGTATCAGTATTTTCTTTGAGCTCCCGTTTCCACTTTGAAATCCATAGCTAATACTCTGTAACGAGAGTGGCAGCAGGAACACTCAAGAAATGGGAATAATATACTGATAATTTCTTCACATTAAGAAGATTTTCTTCTGTATATTCAGATTTTGGCATAAAAATGCCTAATCCGAACAGGTTCATCGTATCCGCACAAAGTCGGTCCTGTAGGTCAGTCATTATGCTATCTATCAGTGGAATATATTATGTAAACAGTCCTCCGAAAATGACATCGTAGTTCATAAAAGCACCGTTAGATGTCAGCAAAACATAAAATGCATCGCGGCTAGGGACAGAAAATAGTATTTTTTTATTTTGTAAATTTTTAGAAGATTTTTCAATTTGACGTGAACGATTTGGGGGGGGGGGGAGGTGGGGGTCTTGTCCCCTGTGAACCTCCCCTTCGGATCGCGCCTGCTTGGTAAGCTTAAACTTATTGTGT